AAATATTGGCAAGATTTGTCTGGCAGGGAAAGAGGCCAAGAATAAAAATGAAGATTTTGGTTAATAAAAAAGAAAGAGGCAGCTTTTCCCTGCCAGACATAAGCGTTTATTAGGAAGCTGTGTGTCTAATTTGGATAAGAGATTGGATAGAATTAGAAAACACAGACCTCTTGGATTTAGAGGGATATGACAACAGGTATGGGTGGCACTCGTACCTGTGGTACAATAAAGTGAAAGTCCACAGGATTTTTTTATATCATATAATTAGAGGATCTATATATGAAGTATGGGACAGAAATAAAAAATTATTAGAAAGAAAAACCCCTTGGTGGATATCACCAACAGAAGTGTTAACTATTAAGAAAGTAAATATGGAAGGAAAGAGGGCAACCTATGAAGAGTTTATCAGGAAAACTGATCAAGGTATAAAACTTAAGACTTATGAGGAGCTAGAGAATTTACTTATAGGGTGGCTACAATACCACCAAGTCAATGATATATTAGAAAAGGACAAAAAGAGACTGGGATTTGAAGATAAGAAATCAAAATTTCACATAAATATTATAGACGGTATGTAATAGTTCTAGGGGTTGCTCGTGCGTAAGCCGGTGCTTATCTCCCCGGCTGGGTGCAAACACCTGGCTGGGTTGCCAAAGTGAACCTTTTCTGTCCGGACAGCCACTCACCCGTGGCTGACTCAATCGCTGGCAGAATCCGTCAGTGGGCGTTTCTTAAACTTCTTCCAGCAAAGAAGCTCTTTGACGCCTAGTCTCCTCCTACTCTCTCTGCGCGAAAGCCTTCTGCGCAAGGAGGGCGTGGGCAATGGAGGACCCCTACTCCCCCCGCTGGTCCCAGGCAAGGAGTCATGGGACCGCCTCGCCGCTTCCCCCAGCTGGCCCCCGGCGCCCCTGGTGCTACGCTGATTCTCTTCCCCAGAAGACGGGCTGCTTCTCCCGATCCCTGGACGCTCTCTGGAATCCCTCTGGCTTTTGCTCTCTCCCTCCGGCACTGATGGCAGTTCCCTGACATCCACCTCCTCCTCAGGACCCACCCCACCCCTGGCGCGATCTTCCGATACATCCTCCTCTCTCTCCTCGACCGATGATGCGGCGAATCCCCTGAAAGAACTGTCATCATCTTCTGAGGATTCAAAACCAGCCTCCCATCCGCTCGGATCTCTTCAAGCTGGTTGAAACTCCCAGTCTGATTCTTCTCCCTCGGACACCTCCCCTCCCTCCTCTTCAGAGGCAGGAAAACCCACAAAGTCCTCTTTGTCGTCTGTGGGTCCAAATTCTTCCTCCCAGAATCTAGCTAATGGTTTGGGCTTACCCGGGAACAAACCATGAAACTCTTCCACCAGATACCCGTCAGTGATTGATTCAGCAGGGACCCAAGTGTTTTCAGACCTAGGTTCCCCCTCCCAGGCTACCAAGTACTCTACCTGGCGACCTCGCCACCTCGAATCGAGTATTTCCGTAGCTTCGTTACAGTGTTCCCTCTCCTCTACCCGCGGGTGGGTGGTAACCCCTCCCTCCCGTCCCAGGAATTCCCGCCCCTCCCTGTAATGTGAAAGTAGGGACCTATGGAACACCGGATGTATCTTCATGCTGTCAGGCAACTTGAGTTTAAATGCCACTGGGTTAACCTGCTGTATTACCTCAAAAGGCCCCAGCCACCTAGACTGCAACTTCTTGCACCCTCCCTTTAGGGGCAACCCTTGGGATGACAACCACACCTGGTCTCCCACCCGTATGGCCTCCCCCTCCCGACGGTGCCTGTCTGCCTGCCTCTTGTAAACTTCCTTGGCCCGCTCCAAGTTCAGCCTGAGTTGCTGGTGTAAGGCCTCCATTTCCTCCACAAATTGCTCAGCCGCAGGTACACTCCATCCTTCCTCCCCCCACCCCGGGAAGGCCCTGGGGTGACACCCGTAATTGGCCATGAAAGGGCTCATTCCCGTGGACACGTGTTCAGCGTTATTGTACGCAAATTCAGCCAAAGCTAATTTCTCTACCCAATCGTTCTGTCTCTCGCTGACATAGCAGCGTAGGTACTGCTGGAGTATACAGTTCGCTCTTTCAGCCTGTCCGTTGGTTTCTGGGTGCCTCGCCGTCGAGAAGCTCACCTCGACCTGTAGCAAGCTCATGAGTCTCCGCCAGAACCAGGAGGTAAATTGTTTCCCGCGATCCGAGATTTCCCTCAATGGGGCCCCATGCAGTCTAAAAATGTGGCCCACAAACAGCCTGGCTGTCTCCTCTGCCGATACTGCATGCGAGCAAGCTACGAAATGGCACATTTTAGTCAGTAGATCTACCACTACCATGACTGCTGTCTTTCCCCTCCCAGGGCCTTTCCGGTGTAGGTAAGGGTTCCAGTAGCCCCGCGGGGGCAGTCCTTTCCCCTTTTGCCCTCTGGCATTGGTCGCACCCTCGTACATATTCTCGTACGTCTTCCCTCACCTTTGGCCACCAGAGCTGCCTGGTGACAAGTAGCATGGTCTTGTGCTGTCCAAAGTGCCCAGCTGTTGCGTTGTCATGGAGCTAAGTACCTTCCCCCTCAAAGTCTCTCCTGGTACATACAGCGCCCCCTTGTAGTACAGTAGCCCTTCCTTTTCCTCAAACCCTCCATTGTCTTCCTTTCCGTCCCTGAGCTCCCTGATTTTTGTCTGAGCAAACTCATCGTCTCTGGTGAGCCCTGTTAGTTCTCTACCAACGCTCCCCCCCACACCCACCGGTCCTCAGGGAACACGTGCCTGGTCTCTGGTGGCCCCTCTCCTTCCATGTACTCCGGTTTCCTGGAGAGTGCATCTGCCCTCACGTTTTCCCCTCCCGGCACGTATCGTATCTCGAAGAAAAACTTGGCGAACTCCTGGGACCATCTGATCTGTCTCTGGTTGAGCACTCGCGCGGTCCGCCAGTATTCCAAGTTCTTGTGGTCAGTTCGGACCTGGATCTTGTGCCGCGCCCCTATCAAAAGATGTCTCCATTGCCGAAATGTCGCATAGATCGCAAGCAGTTCTCGGTCATACACCGTGTAGTTTTGCTCCGACTTGCTCAGCTTCCTAGAGAAAAAGGCACACGGTCTCCAGTTCTCCTTGGACCCGGGTTGCAAAAGTACCGCTCCAATCGCGCGGTTGGACGCGTCCGTCTCCAGTCTCATGGGCTTCTCCGGATCCACGTGCAGGAGCTGCTCTTCCGAGATGAATGCCTTCTTCAGTTTTTCAAAGGATTGCTGCGCATCCTCTGTCCATGCGAACTTCTTTTTGCTACTAAGACAATCCGTTATGGGCGCTGTCAAGTGAGCGAAGTTCTTTATGAACTTCCTGTAGAAGTTGCTGAAGCCTAGGAACCTCTGCACATCCTTTCTGTTTTTGGGGGCCTTCCATTCCAGCACTGCTTTCACCTTGCCTGGATCCATGGCCAGTCCTTTGTCTGACAACCTGTACCCCAGGAACTCGACCTCCCTGGCGTGGAATTGGCATTTTTCCAGCTTGACCCACAACTGATGCTTCTTCAATCTCTGCAGCACCTCCCTGATGTCTCTGACATGTTGCGTTTCATTGTCCAAATAGATTAAGACGTCATCCAAAAAGGCTACGCAATTCTTGTACAGCAGGGGCCCCAACACATGGTGCATGAAGGCTTGAAAGCAGGCGGACCCCGATTGTAATCCAAATGGCATAACTAAGTACTCAAAAGCCCCCAGGGGGGTGAACATGGTCGTTTTCCATTCGTCCCCCTCCCTTATCCTACTCAGATTGTATGCCCCCCTGAGGTCCAGCTTGGTAAAAATCTTCCCCTGCCTCACACGTGTCAAAATATCGTCAATCCTGGGCATTGGGAAAGTCACGGGTTCTGACACCAGGTTTACGGCCCTGTAATCCACGACTAATCTGGGCTGATTAGTCTCTTTTTTGTCCACAAAGAACACTGGACTGCCCCCCACCGCCTTTGATTCCCTTATGAAACCTCTCTTCAGGTTCTTGTCAATAAACTGCCTCAACTCCTGCATCTCCCGGTCGGACATGGCATACAGCTTACCCACCGGTAACTGAGCCCCTGGAAGCAGGTTGATTTGGCAGTCAAATGGCCTGTGGGGGGGCAGTCTGTCTGCCTCCCTTTCGCTGAAGACCTGCTTCAAATCAGCATATTGTGGTGGCACCTGCCCTTTTTCCTCCAGCGCGTGCTCCATCAATTTCCATCAGCTCTGCTGCCTGGGAAGGCTCCCTCGGCATCTCAGGAATGCGGTTGCCATGGAAACGTTCCGCCCTTATCTCCCGCTTCTCCTGAGCCCGCGCTTCCTGGCGTACACCGATCACAAGCACAGTCTTTGTGAGTTCATCCATCGACCGCGGGCGGGGCGCTCTGGACAACTCGTCTTTCACTTCGGGGTCCAAACCTGCCTCAAACAGCATTTGTACAGGTTCAGAGTCCAGATCCCACCCAAGCTTGTGGACTAACATCGCAAAACGCGACCAGTAGCTTCTGACGGACAGGCTCCCCTGCTTGCACCCCATCAGCTCCCTCCGTGTCACGCTTTGCTCAACCTCGCTGGAGAACATCGTGTCCATTGCCTGGTAGAATTTCTTAAGATCTTATCGCAAGGTACCATTGTATTACTTTTACCCCACCCATCTGGCTGGGTTGCCCCAGCCACTCTGGGCGGCTTCCAGCAAAACATAACATGCACGATGGAGCGGGCCTTTCACAGCAGAGCAGATGAAGGGAATTCTGCTTCTCAGCTCTCCCAGTGCTAGAATGGTCAGGCAGCAGTAGAACGTTGAAATACAGGTCATTTGACCTCCTTTATCCCATTTTGGCTCCATGTAGCAGCCAACCTCTTCCCCTCAGTGTCATTCCTTGTTGTGGAAGTTGGCAGTATCTTCCAATGATCTGCCTCATTCCCAGGTCCATTTGCGGAACTTCTCTTGTTTTGTGTCTGCTTTTCCTTGCTGCTGGGGGTGACATTGCAGGGCAGTGGAGAAGACCATCGCAGACTGTCTGATGTCCACGCTGGAGAACTTGTGGGAGGATGAACTCAAGAAATTCAAGCTCAAGCTCAACAAGTTCCCCCTCAGGGAGGGCTATGACAACATCCCCCTAGGGACACTGGAGAAGGCAGATGTGGTGGACTTAAGCCACCACCTTCTGAGTATCTACCTGGAAGATTATGCTGTGCAGGTGACGGCCGAGGTCCTCAGAGCCATCAACTGCAGAAACGGGGCACAGAGGCTCCTTGCCCGCACCGGGAAGGAGTAAGGAAAAAGGAATGCCGTCTCATGGAACTCACCATGAGTTAAGGGGAAAGGACTGTCATTTTCCTCAGCCCTCTGCAAATGGAGGGAGATTGATTATGATCCTCTTTTCATGGGAGTCATGAGGGTGGAAGTGGTAGTTTAAAAAGCATGCAGAAACTTGTTCAGTTATGTATCTGCGTTTGCAAAGCACAGGAAATTTAGGTTGCTAGGCCTTTTAAATATCCCAGTATTAGGCACTGACAGTGTGCTCTCCCATCTCTACCGCTCTGGCAATGAATTGGACCACATGTTGCATAAGTTTTAAAAGGTTTACTACTTCCATAATACAAGGTCTTAGTCATAGATCTGAGCGCCACAGCAAAAGCAATGCAGGTAGACAAATTAACTGAGTACAAAATTACAAAGCCAGTTCCAAAATGGAGTCTGGGTTCAGGGAGGAGCTCAGACACGTGTTCCACAAAGGAAAGAGAGACAAAGAAAGAGAGGAATTGGAAGAAAGCTTTACTTCCTCTCAGGAGGAGAGGGTAAGTAACCTCACAGAGCCTTCTCTAGCAATTAAGAAGCTCTGGGGTTTTTAACCCCTCCATTCAAAATGCTGGGCTGCAAATATCTACCTCCCATCTAGTTGCTCACTGGAGCAAGACAGTTTGATCTTATTACACCAATGCTGGTCTGACCGCACTGGCTACCAGTTAATGTCTGGGCCCAATTCAAAGTGCTGGTTTTGACCTATAAAGCCTTAACAGCTCAGGACTGCAATACCTCAAAGCCCACCTCTTTCCATATGAACCTACCCAGACCCTGAGATCACCTTCTGAGTTTATCCAAGGAAATCCAAACCTCCCATGGTGTTAAACAAGGCTGCGTCCTTGCACCTACTTTATTCAACTTCTATATTACCTTGGTCCTGATAGCTGTAGGTTATGAGAAAGCTAGAGCAATAATCCACCAACGAATTTGGGATGTGGAACTGCCAAGCCACATGAGTGAGATGAACACCCAGCTATAAAAGATAATTGAAGAGGATTTACCCCAGCAAATTATTTGTCAAAATTACAAATACCCACAATTACAAATACCCAAATACAGACGTTCATTTACCCTCGCTAGATTCAATGTGCTGCCATCTGCCTTATTGCAGGGCAGATTCGAGGGTAAACCATATGTGGAACAAGTCTGCCCCTGCAGCTTGATGGAGGTAGAAACTGTCTCTCATGTATTGTTACGCTGCCGTTTCTATGGGGATATAAGCTCAGTATTTATCACTCCTGTTATACAAAATCTCCAAATGGGTCCAAACTTCAATGTCTAAAACTCCTGGTAGAGGACAAGGATCTAGAGATCACGCTAAGGGTGGCCAAATTCTGTGCGACTGCCATAAAACTTAGGGAACAAGCTGTATTACCAAAACGATTAAGGGTTTAAATGACAATTTTAGGTTATATTTTAATGAACAAGTTTTAATATATATTTTTAACTGCCGCTGTATCCGAATTGTCTCTGTTATACCCAATTGCAATGCAATGTATTCCTGTCGTGTTTTATGATTTTCCTGATATTGTAAGTGAGCCGGAACTGGTCTGTGACTGTAATAATAAAATTCATTCATTCACCTTCTGAGGCCCTCCTTTTATTTTTATTTTGTTCTGTGAACCACACTGAGACCTACAGGTATAGGGTGGTATATAAATTCAATAAATAATAATCATAACTGAAAAGTGATTTAAGATAGACACCCTAAATTGCAAGAGCCTCCAAAATGAATCAGACGATACTCACTGGTGTCGACACTGTCTCTTTTGCATTCCCCGGAACGAGAGATGAGGACAGCCATGGTTTGGAATGGAACCAGCAAGTTGCAAATATCCCGTTTTGGGGGGAGGTGGTGGAGCGGGCTGTAGTGGGGCAGCTGCAAGCATTCTTGAAGGATATGGATTACGGAGATCCTTTCCAATATGGGTTCAGTCCTGACTAGAGAACTGAGAGCTTATCCACACTTGCTTTTCTCCTGCAGCTCTCCCCTGGGGAAAACCTCTTTTTTAGCGCTCAAATCGGAGCAAATGGAAATTTGAGTGTTCCCTGGATTGCTATTTGTTCTATCGCTACCTAAAGGGGGCTTGCCCTTTGAAAGGAGTGCGCCAAGTGGGAAACCACTTGGCTCCATGCCTAGAAAGCACTGGTCAAGTGGAAAACTGCTTAAACCTGTGCTGTTTAATCATGGCACAAGCAGAAATGTGGATGAGCCCCCAAGTGGGTCTTGGCCACCCTGACGAATGAGCTTTATGGAGAGTGACACAGCAGAAGTGATACCTTGCTCCTGCTTCCTGATCACTTGCTGGCTTTTGACACCATCAACCATGATTTCCTCCTGGGGAATGAGAATCGGGGACACTGTATTACCATAGTTCCAAGCCTACTGCCAGGACCGAGCCAGAGAGTAGCATTGGGCGAGTGCCTTTCGACCCCCTGGCAGCTATGGTATGGGGTGCCACAGGGGCCCCTATCTTATATCTAGTGCTATTTAATATCTACATGAAGCTGCTGGGAGTGGGCATTAGGATTTTCGGGCCGAGGTGCCATCAGTATGCTGAAGGCACTCAGCTCTATTTCTCCAAAATATCTGAACATCTGAGAGGCTGCTCAGTGTCTGGGTTATTGTCTGGACACAGTGGTTAAATGGTTAAGGAAAAACAAGCTGAGCTTGAATCCTGGAAAGACAGAGTGAATAGCTCCTGCGCCTGAGAAATTTGTCTGCTGCCTACCCTGGATGATGGTGCACTTCCGCTGAAGGAGCAGGTTCACAGTTTGGAGGTGCTTCTCCATCCAGCTCTGTCACTGGAGGCTCAGGTAGCCTCAGTGGCTGGAAATGCCTTTTACCAACTGTGGCCGGTTCAACAGCTACAGCCATTTCTGTACCAGAAAAACCTTGCCACAGTAGTTCATGCATTGGTAACTTCCAAGACTGGGTTACTGCAATGCACTCTACACTCTGCAAGAAGTGATGTTACAGGGAACCAGGCAGAGGCCTTCTCGGTAGTGGTGCCCACCCTGTGGAACACCCTCCCATCCGATGTCATAGAAATAAACAACTATCTGACTTTTAGAAGACATCTGAAGGCAGCCCTGTTTAGTGGCTGTGGAACTATAAATATATTATTGTTGTTGTTGTTGTTGTTGTTGATGATGATGGATGTGGGGCGCCCCTCACACTTTATCCAGAGGCTTCAGTTAGTGCAGGATGCTGCCACATGACTGCTGACAGGAGTGAGGACTTGTCAGCATATACTAACTGAGCCTGGATAGCTCAGTTGGTAAAGAGCATGGTGCCGATAATGCCACAGTTGCAGGTTTGATCCCTGTGTGGGACAGCTGCATAGGTTGGACTAGACACTAGAGGATCCTCACAATTCTATGATATGTAGCTCACAAGAAAACACAACGGACCTAGAGAGCAGAGAGATAAATGGCGCCACAAAAAATGTCACCAGAAACCACCCACCCACACAATGAACTCTGTGATATTCACAGTCAGGCAACAATTTTATATTTGATACACTTCCCTTACTGGATTTCCCGATTTGGGAAGAAAATAATTTACTGTGGAAAAAGCTGTTGGAGAGGTAGAACCTCAAGTGGACAAATAACTGAGACACATCCAGCTTAAAATACACATTAAATGCCCATGTGGTTAAACCCACAGTCTGCAAAGGGATATACACCTGGATGACGTCTGCCTGCATTTCGAAGATCTCTAAACCTTTTGTTTCTTTGTCCATTTAAAATTCTGAACTCTTGCATCTGTATTGCTTGTTGCAGTTCTGTAGAAGTGAAGATAAATGTCCTTAACTAGGAGACTTGGAAGGAACCATGGAAGGATCTAGAGTGGTACATCAGTAGATCAACCATCCTGAATTTCTCATCACCCAACCAATCAAGGCATTCTGAAAAGGACTTGTGTGTCTCCCTGAAAACACTTAGTTGGTCTCTAAGGTGCAACTGGAAGGAATATTTTTATTTTGTCCCTGAAAACAGTCTGTTCTTCCAGAGAGAAGTTGAAGACTAATGGATTTTTTAAAATGGTAGAACTTTTAAAATATATGTTTATTAATATTGTTTTCATTGCAAGGTAATGCATTACAGAATACATTGCATTCCTGTAGACAATTACATGAAATTATCATGATAACTGAGAGAGTAATAATAAACAGGAAGGGAAGCAAGGTTACCATGTGTAGAACCCCCACTATGAGCAAGTCTGAGTTGGGAGTTGAGAGTTGAGCCTCTCCGACCCTTCTCCTCGCCGCCGCCGCCGCCGCCGCCGCCGGCAGCAGCAACAACAACTACACCCCGCAGCCGCGCGCTGCTCCGCGGCATCCGTCTCCCCCCCCCCCAGCCCTTTCCCGCTGCCTCTGCGCGCTCAGGGCGCTATCAGATTCAAAGAAAAACTCAACAGGCCGTGCGTCGTCGAAAGAAAACTGAGGCGGGAGGAGCAGCAGTCTCCATTCCGCCGGGGAACGAGGGGGTTAGCAACACAGGCCCAATGTCCTCCCTGCCCTCTCGCCTTGCCTCTCCCAGCGGGGGTGCAGCTGTCCTCGGCTCGGCTGCGGAGCTGGAGAGACCGTTCCCTTCCTCTCTTCCTCCCTAGGAAGTGTGGTGGGGAGAGATGAGCGAGCGGGGAAGAAGCGAGAGGCGGAGGGCACGGTGAAAGGAAGGCTTGCGGGGAATGAGGGGAGCTGGGCAGCCCCCACTTCATGCTAGTCACAACATGGGAACCACCGCTTGAGGCTTCGTTTGGCTGCTGGTTGTCTAAAATCCCCTATTTTGGCTCCTGATCCCTTATTTTCGAGGCTGCTGGTTCCTTATTTTCAAATCTGTAAGTTGACAGCTATGATTTTGGTCTCTAAGGTGCTACTGGAAGGATTTTTTTTTTATTTTGTCCTGAAAACTTCTCCAGAGAGAAGTTGAAGACTAATGGATTTTTTAAAGTGATAGAACTTTTAAAATATATGTTTATTAATATTGCTTTCATTGCAAGGTAGTGCATTACAGAATACATTGCATTCCTGTAGACAATTACATGAAATTATCGTGATAACTGAGAGAGTAATAATAATAAACAGGTAGGGAAGCAAGGTTACCATCTGTAGAACCCCCACTATGAGCAAGTCTGAGTTGGGGGTGAGCTGTACTGCTGCCATCACCTGGTGAATTTCAAATTCCAAGTTAGCAGCAGCATTTTAATACAATGGAGGGGAAGAGGAAAGATTGCTGCTCAGGGTAAATAATATGCTCTGGATTAAGGACAATTGGGAAAGAGAAGAAAAATGAGATTGGATAAACGTGCACCTGAATGCAGAAGATGAACACAGTGATAAAGGTATGTGGCACAAAACATAAGGCACAGTGAAATAAATGGAAATCCAGCCAGGGACTTAGGGATGCAGAACCCTATTTGCCCTATCTATCAGTGTTATCTGAAAATTAAGGATCCTTCAAACTTTCAAGGGGCCCTTTCTGTGTTATTAAGACTTCCATAATTTGTGGAATGCTTTCATGGGAAGAAGATCCATGTTTCTCTTCTGCCAAGATAAGAATGCTCACTTCATATTATAAATGTCCTTTAAGGCCTTCAGTGCTTGTTCTTCAGTAATGTTTTTCCAGTCCTCTGGCAGATCAGCTGGTTTAGCTTCATATATTCTTGCAAAATCATGGTTATATTTGTTCAAAACAAACTTCCAGTAATCTGAAGCATTGATACTGGGATCTGGTTGGATGCACCAGTCTGGATAATATGAACGATAATCTTTGTATGGATAGAGTTCCCAATTTGTGTCCTGATTTTTGAACTCAGCGTTGGAAGCCACAGCAGTGGAACAGATACCATAAACAAGCTTTTCTGACACTATTTCTCTGTATGTTCCCAGTCCTTTAGGCCGATGGACAGTTGCAAAATGCTCTTGATGAGCACTCCCTCCAGCTTCACAGGGGACTTTGCAGAAAGGACACTGCTTCCCACAGCCAAACACCCGCTTGAAGATCTCATCCTGCGGGCTCACAGGCAGTTTGGAGAGTTTATACTGGAGATCCAGGATATCACATTCAAATATTATTTGCTGTTGCAAATCAGCAAGGAAGTTTTCAACACAAGCAGAAAACTGTGCAGGATCAGTTGCATTCTTAAACTGTACCCCTAACAGACTGTCCTTAGAAATGACTAACTCCTTCTGCATTTCTCTGCAAAAACTGTCCAAAAATTCTGAGACTGTCTCAATATCTTGATGCTTTAATTTTTTCAGTGTTTCTATAATTTTCTTTACTATTGCAGAGAGAATCTCTCCCTCCAGTTTCTTCAGACCCTCATTCTCTGCATAGTAATCCAAAATTTGTTCCTGGATCCAGTTTTTGACAAACTTTTCATAAGCCCTGATGTATTTTACGTAACTGTTGACATTACCCTCTTCCAACAGTTCCTTCAGGACAGTGAACTGGAAGAAGCTCCGACTGGCATACCCAATGGACTGTGCACTGTTGAGAATATCATCCACCATTTCTATCCCAAGTCTTTTGTTGATATAACTCACAAGGGCAGGATGGAGACACTGGTCACAGAAATCCTTGGCTCTGATTTGCTGGGCATCTTTTTCCAGATAAAGATCTCTGAAAATTGAGAAATAATGAGGCTTCAGTTTCTCTAAGCGTAGGTAGGGATCATTTTCCTTAATAAACTCATCATGCATCTTTTGAAATTCATGAGCTGCTTCCCCCAAAATGTGCAGCTTTAGATCTACTTCAAACCGTGTTGTTATGGGAAGTTTCTGAGCATCAGATTGTTGAAGCATTTCATTGATAATCTGTAAAAGTTCACCACAATATGTATCATCATAGTCTCCTTTGGAATCAACCTTTTTACAAATGTAGGAACTGCATTTAGCCATCAAGGAGTTAGCAAGTTCTTCTATCTCATGCAAACACTCCTTTTTAGCAAAGAAGCGTTTCACACGGCACCACCATGTTGAATCCATATATTCAGATTTCATTTGAAAAGTATTCATTTTGTAGCTTAACAAAGATTTTGCTCCCTGTACTTTTACATTGACTGAACTTCCTCGATGTGACATTTCCCTTCTCAAATATGAGTCAACCTTTTCATATATTTGTCGTTTCTCTAAGGGAACAGGTGATATTTCTGACAATGTTTCCATCCACATTCTTTCAAACTCTTTTCCCAGTTCTTGATCTTCAATCCTATCTTCATTTTCCCGGCATTTTTTAAGTAGCCCATCAACCTTTCCTTCAATTATTTTCAAGTATTCAGTTTGTAGAGAGTGAATCTTGTGAAGCCCTTTTTGAATGCGAACAGCTTCCTGACATTTGTTGTAAGAATAACTTTCAAGTTCCTGCTTGAGGCTGTGAGCACTGCGGACAAAATCTTCTCTGTACCTTTCTACCAAATGCAGATTTGCTGCTCTGCTTTCAAAGTATTGCTTCAAATTCTCCAAAATCTGCTGTTCTCCAGCCAACAGCTTCTGAGAAAGCTCATTTTGCAAACTGCGTATATCAAATTCATCGGGAGAAACATTCTGTATTGACGTTTCCTGTTCAGATACCCAGAGGTGCATCTCTCTGCGAAAATGCCAGTCCCATTCAGAATATTTCATGGAGAGCTGGTTATAAGCTTCTGCTATGAGGCTGTTTCGGAAGCTGAAGATGAAGTTCTCATGTTTCACAGCATTCCACAGACTTTTCACCCATTCAATAAACTGAGGGATGTCCTTGGGAGGTATTTTACATGTGCGGTTCTTTATGAATTCAAATATGTACTTCTTTAATTCAAGGACTTTTTCACTGTAACCCATGTTGACTGGGGCCATTGGTGGGACTCCATGCCAAAGACCAGGAATGTACCAATTGTGCATTTCTGGGTCGTAGTCCATGATGTCTGAAAACTTGATATCCCTATTGAGTTTTTCCATTTTTGCTGCAGCCTGGGTCATTTCATTCAGCTGTTCCAAAAGATGCTTCCTGTCCCTCATGTTTTGGTCATGTGCAGAAACGTCACTGACGTTCTGATGAACAAACTGGCAGTTGGGTTTTTGCCCAATCTTCTCCATCCTGAGGAAGGCATGGGTCACAATTTGCAGGATGTCCTTCATTTCGGTGGCATTCTCCATGGCCATGTTGACAATGGTGATGTCGCTCAGCCCAATCACTAGAGTGGCCAACTCATTGTCATGCTGATAGCTGTCTTCCAGTTTGGCCAGTTCAGGGGCTTTCAAGCCCTCTGTGTCTATCACCAGGATGAAGTCACAGCCAAGTTCCTGAACCATATTCTCTCTGATGTTAAGAAGCGTCATGAAGGCACCTCGTGTGCACCGCCCACTGCTGACAGCAAACTGCAGGCCAAACATGGTGTTCAGAAGGGTCGATTTCCCAGTGCTCTGCACCCCCAGAACGGTTATCACCATCATCTTGGATTGTCCCCTTAATTTGTTATTGAGTTTATTCAGAACATCAGTTATCCACTGCAGGGGGATATTGGATGCATCACCATCAATGAGCTCCAGGGGAAACCCTTCCAGCAGTAGTTCAGCTGCAATGCTTGGGAAATGGGCAAACTGCCTTTTGTTTTTAGCTATTTTGCCCTCATTAACCATTGAGCATTCTGCCTCATAGAACTGCCCCAGCTCACGCATGAAATGCTCAACTCCCAAGGAAGAGGATGATATCAACTGGTCTACCTCTGCAATCTTCCGCCCATCATCTCCTAACTTCTTGCATTTCTCTTTATAGTCAGCACGTAACTTGGAAAGATTTCCCCTAGCAATATGGTCCAGGTTGAACTTCATCCATTTCAAGAAATAATTCCTCTCTGCATCCTTCAAATGTTTTATGCCGTGGATGAAATTAATCAAACCAATGGTGAGATCACATTGACTCTGCTGCCTACGCAGTTCCAACCATCTGCCTCTCAATTCTGATCTGTATTTTTCCGAAGGCATGTCCCCTTGCCTTTCCATTCTGCATAGTTCTTTCTCCACTTTGGCCAGATTCTTCCAGAGATCACCTTGGAGTATCAGTGTTTCTTTCTTATAAACTGCTACATCTTTTATCTCTCCAGAAATTTCGGTGGCACATCTGAGGGCATCCTGACATTCTTTGTGGTCTTCATCGACCTGGATTGTAAGTTCATGGGCTGTTGTACACATCTTATCAATACTTACACACTTAGGATTTGAGGCTATTATTTTTCCAACTGCAGCTCGAAGGAGTTCTACAAATACTGCTTTATTCATTGTGGCATTCTTTACCAATATATGTGAATTGTCAAGTTTAATCACTGGTGCCAGTTTATTTAAGAACTCCAAGGTACAATCAGATTTTCTACTGCGACCTTCCAAGATAAAGTAGAACTGAGTTGACAAGTCCTTCAGTGATGACAAGAGAGTATATTCTCTGTCGCCAATGCATTCAGCAAATATGAACACAGCTGAGGAGACCTGCGTTAAAAAGCTGAACTGCACCCAGTGAGACTCAACATCTCCACGGAGATTTGCAACAGCAACTGGCTCTGGGAAGAGATCTGTGTTTGTCCGTCCTCCTGGGAAATACCAGGCAATCTCTACAAGCCCATCAGCAATTTCCCGAGGGATGTTCCCACACTCCATATCTCGGTGTAGAAAGAAATCATTATGCTGCTGAGAAGGGCTGAGGAACTCGTTGAGGACTTTGGACTTAGATAGGTTACAGCTCCCCATCCGTACAAAAGAAACAGTTGGCATGGGTGTCAGTACCAGGCTGTCCTCCTTAAAGCCTCTGCTTTCAGCCAAGGAATGGGGCCTCCATTTTTTCACAATGTCCCTCATGGCCCAGAGCATCAGGGTGCACTTGGAGGTCTTGAGGGGAGGCAGAATCAAAGGCAGGGCAAACTGGCACATGGACATTTTGAGGAGGATCTCCTGTTGGAGGAAACTGTCAGAACAAAGCAGAACAGCACAAAGGACATCAAGGGGGTTCACAGAATCTATCTCATCTGTTTTGGTATCAAAGAAGATTCTCTCATCAATCCTTTTTTCCTTCTCCTTTAACGGCATTCCTTTATTGTCCAGTGTTTCATGTTGAAGGCTTGTGCTCCTGGCTGTCACATTCAAAGCCAAGACCTTCTTCAGAAAATGCCAAGGCAAGTCTCCCAATGTACACGGGCTGCAGTCTTTTAGATTTCCAGAACTGATTTCCAGAATTTCTTTCAGGGCAAGTTTCTTGCTTGAATACTTCCGAAACTTCAACTTAGCAATGATGTTCTTAAGCGCTTTTCTTCCTTCTACAGAACCATTAGAAAATAAGTATTATTCTTTTTGCACCCATGTGTATCCAAGATTACTGTTTCAGTGCCAAATTTTCTAATGTGTGTTTAACAATGTAATTGAATGACTCTCTTTTTAAAAAAAAAATCAATGCAAGTGCAAGCGATGTGTGTAATGTCACATGGACTTTGGCTCTTAGCCTCTGCATCTTTTTCTTCTCTACCACACTTGCCCACACCCTGGTACATTTCTCTTTTGCGTACAAGGGGTTGCTACAGTATTTACACTGCATGCATTTATTAAGAAAGAAGGCAGCTACTACTAGGGCAGTGGAAGCAACTGAGAGAAGTCAGCTTTTGCTGCCCGAGGGAAAACTGAAAATGCTATCTGCTACAGCACACACGATGCCTAAGGCACCACCCGCCGGTGGGCTGGCCCTGAGAGAAGAAAACACATGGGAATTATCATATTCCTGACATGATAAATAAACCATTTCAAACAATAAAGCTAGTCATCTGATAATGAAACTGAGTTTACCCTAACCCAGAAATTTTCATTCAAGAAGTAACTTCAACTTCCCTTAAGGGCAACATATTAGCCAAAGCTGCATTAACCAAGTGGCAGGATTTCCAGATTCTGCAACCAGAAAAATGAAATTCTGCAATCATAAAATGGGTAACCTAGATTAATATGTTTCTCTGAACAAATGAAACAAGACTAAAGGCAATGGACTGCGAACACCTGATATAACTGGGGAATGTCTGGATAAGATGCTATCTGGAAACATGGCTCCACCCTCCACTGTAGTGAGGATACAAAATTAAGGTGCAAAAGACAGAAATACCTTTGCTAGCATGTTTCTTTTTTTGCTCTGCTTCTGACTCAAGCTCATCTTCTTTCTCTTGTCCTGCAGGGACTAGAAACACACACAAACCTTTAACCATGTAATGTTATACCATAGTTTACTTAAAACAGTTGATTTTAAGCTATGGTTTAATGCCCATGGGCATATTGTTCCCCCCCCTTGTTCTTTTCCCCCTTCTCCCAGAGCCCACCGCAGAAACAAATGAGAGTTTGGCTCATTATAGCAGCATGCAAACTTGGCTCAAGTGGTAAATCAGGAATAAGCCATGGATTCCCAGATTATTGCTTGGTGTTTGTTGGGAGCAAACAAATCATAAGCTGAATATGAATGATACAAGCCCTACTGTGTCTTGCCTCTGTTGTACCGGGGGGGGGGTACTATTGTGTGTGTTAACCCATAGTTTAAAAGAACTATGATTTAATGTTGTGTGAAAATGCAGTCATAGGCCTTGTTCATGTCACAGGGAAGCCTTAGTTAAAATAAATTATGGCTTATTGTGAACCTGCTGAAATAATGGGTGCTTTGTGTGGGATGTAAGATGACAAAAGCAGTCAAGTACAACATTTCCTGTTCGCCCAGAGTAGACACACGGGAATGTTGCTGAGAACTTCCTGTCACACCTGGTCTGGACCATCCTCCCCCTGAGTGTGACCAGGTAGATGGACGTGACCCTGGGAGACCCCATGAAAGGGCTGGTCACGCAGCCATCTTTCCCTTTTTTCCTCTTGATGCTCTTCCTCATGTACTATCTCGATGCTCTTTTGCTGTGTGCTGGCTCTCAGCCAGCAGCACATGGGCTCATCCCTCATAAGAGGATGAACCCACACTTTCCTCTGTAACTGTAACTACAAGCTAAAGCCTACCTTCAGAATCACACTGTGGAGTGAATGTGAGTAAGCCTTATCATTACTTTTAAAGAAGACTGTTGTGTCATTGTTGTTTTTAAGAGGGAACAAAAGGGGATTTACCAGGAAGAAATCCAATCTGGACAAGCCAGGCTGGATTGCTTAACTAAAGTGCTTCTCATGAATCCAATCAACTAGCTTCCTACTCTGCTACAAGTCTGGATGGGAAAGGAGATTTGAAAATCACACCCACACCATACATTTAAAGCCTATCTATACTGCTTTAGCAGCCATGGCTTCCCCCAGAGAACCCTGGGATTTGTATTTTACCCCCTCCCATCACCCTTAATAAACTACAGTTCCCAGGATACTTTGGGGGAGCCATATACTTTAAATGAATGGTCTGGAGACGGTGATCCAAACTTCATCAGAGGTAGGAGGAATCTTCCTCCCTTCAGCAGAGACCAGGCTGCCCCATCCTGCCCGGCTTGCTTATGGAAAGGCTAAGCAGGAAAGCAGAATTAGACCAGGGTGTCAGCAGGACCTATTTTGAAGAAACCAGTAACAACCAAATGCCCCCCTCCCCGATCACGAAAGGAGATACCTTTGGGAACTGCTTCTTCTGTCTCTCCCAATACTCCTGGGCTTCCAGTCTTCTCCTCTGGAGGCAAACGCTCTAGGGAGAAAAATATAAGCTACATTAGTTCCCTTCCAACAGCACAGTTCTACGATTCCTGGTCCAAAAAGCCATGACGACAAATATTCTAAAGCAAACCACAACAAGCCACTTGTTGGTATGCCATTAACTGGGGATGTGGATGTAGAACTGCAATGGCCATCTGAATGCATAAGCTGTCTGTGCAAATATGAGACCTGATAAGGTAAAACAGAAAGTCCAAGTCTCCTCTTAGCATCTCTTTTAAAGAATACACTAACCACTCCTGTTTCCTAATTTCCCTGCTGCAGCTGGGGTGGTGAGAAAGTCCCGCCCCGCAGTTCATCTGCCTTTGGGACATGTGGTTAAAACAAAAATGTAAAATGAAGACATTACTGATTACTAATATCCATGGGATTCCACTTGCCGAATGATGTCTCTTGTCTAACAGCAAACTCAACTAGTGAATACAAAGGCTAGGTAGCCCAAACAGGGTTACAAGACAGAGAAATTATTCTGCCTGGGGAGAAACAAAGTAGTTTTTTTAAGAACTAAAGGGGTAACCCTGCTCCAAAACAAAACACAGACCAATGAGCACTGACTATACAGAACTTAACAGTTACCAGTAAGTTGAGAGAATACTTTGTGCTTTGCTCACTGAACCACTGAAGAATTGCGAAAAGGAATTACCGTATATACTCGAGTATAAGCAGATTTTTTCAGCACATTTTTTATGCTGAAAAAGCTCCCCTCAGCTTATACTTGAGTGGGGTCCTTTCAGGCTGCTTGCTATTCCTCGCCGCTGCCACCACCACCAGGTTTGTGGTGTGGTGAACCGGCTTATACTCGAGTCAATACATTTCCTCAGTTTTTTGTGCTAAAATTAGGTGCCTCGGCTTATATGCTGGTCGGCTTATACTCAAGTATATACGGTACTTAAGAGGTGCTGTTCCACCATCTCATAGATCATATTTGGGAAAACACACAGCAAGGCATCTCTCTTCCCTAAGGATCTCAGAAAAGTAAACTGATAAAAAATGTTTTGTTCAAAAAGAAGAATGATTATTAAAATTAAGCGGATACCTCGAACTGGCAAAATTAACAGAAATGGTAAGAAACCAACCAAGTGATAAAATCAGGAGAGAATGGGATGTCTTTGCAAATTACATGAAGAAAATCAGTTCCCAAAATTATAATTGGCTTAGTCTAGACTAAAAATTCCACAGGTAAATAAACAGTATCTCCATTAATGCAAAATGATTACACACAACTAAAGATATGAGATCATATAAACTGTATAGTGGGTCAAAGGAAGTCAACCTTTTCTATTTTCCTTTTGACTTAAAAAAAAAATGCTCTCTCTTTTTTTCTTTTCAATATGTATCATTTTCTTAATTTTTGTATTTTTCTTCTTTAGTAGCATTTTGGCATTCAGGAACTCGTAGCATTTGTGTAACTATTCTTTTTTTGGCATGTACGTAATATTTATATAATAAATGTAATAAAACATTTTTTAAAAAAAGTTTTATTCAGACTCACCATGTATTGAATTTTGCAGAACCTGATTTGAACCTGGACGTGCAATTTCTAAACATTCCAGGAACTTGCCACAGGCTATTTCTCCCATTTTCTGTATCATTATCAGCAGTTTCCGAATTTTCTTCTTGGAATCCTCCTCGGTTTTGTCTAAGGCCTCATATTCTTCCTCTGTGATAAGGGACTGGGAGAATAACTCGTCTAGAACAAGTTCTAGGTCCTTCTGGAGGATTTCAATTAATTGTTTTCTCGCCTTGCGGATTATCTCACCACCAGAGACCATCACTGAATCCATTGATCTGTGGTAGAATAAATGTATTTTATTGATTAATGGAAAAAGGGAAACAAACATTAGAACTAGTGAGGAACTCTTTTCACTCATGCATGCCGATTAAGGAACAATCCAATGCTCACCGTCTCTGCATAGAATGAAATCTTATTGCATTCAATGGCTCTTCCTTCACAGGGAAATGGGGCTGGGAGGACTGCAGCCTGATCTGGCAAACTGTCTGCCTAGCTGCTAGTGAATCTACGCTCATGGTTAGGAATGATGCTATCATCATGGGTATCTACTACGTACTAAACCATCTAATCCATTTTTAGGTTAATAGTCTATGTTCTTAAGAATGTTGGGCTGGGTACTGACTGTCGCTCATGGAAGGGGGAGCAGGAAGAAACCTAAACACGTACAGCAGAGTTCCCAAAAAATAGACTAGAGGCAATTGTACTTCATCCAGCAGAGCTTTACTGCTACTGAAGGCAAATGAGCATAATGGTCGCACATCCAATACATTCAGGATTGGCACAGTCCATAAAAATCCAGTTGCAGCTGTGATGAAAAAGTCGGTTTTGCTGGACAGGATGAATCAACAAGTGTTTCTTTTCTTTCCTTTCCCTGCCAGCAAATGGTTAATGAATGGCAGCCTGTGATTGACCGTGGTTCCAGGAGGGAGAGTTTAAAATTTTGATTTGAGGAGCGAGTTGGTCAAAGGGTTAGGAGTTGAAATAAAAAATTAAGGTCTTATGTATATAATAAAGGTTCATAAATGTACCAAGCAAACACGTACATAAATATATAAACCACATGTCTGAAGCGGCACAGGACGACAGCCATGAAGCCATTTTGACTCCCAAACTGACCAGGTGTTTTCTCTGCAAAGTCAAATGGAAAAGCCTCCCCATTGTCTTTTCCTTCACAAATCCTGTCTTAAGGGTATGTCTGTGTATGAATAGGGTGAGCCTGTGACTTGGCTCAGGAACTAAGTATTTATCATTACAAAAGACTGGCCAGGCTCCCCAGGGTATCAATCAAGTAGGCATTAACAGGTAACTTGCCAGACAGGAGGTAAACAACCCACTCAGATTATGAGGTAAACAAACCACTCAGATTTCTGCTGTAGCCTGCCCTTTCTGTGATGTAGGTATGATGTGCCTGGGGGGTGATCTTAAGCTACACCCATTCTGTGATGTATGTATGATGTTTCTGGGGGTGGTCTTGATCTACAGGGTGGCAATTTCAAAAGTCTTTATAAGGCCTTGCGCGTCATTATTCTGGGTTCCTCCTCCTTTCCTGTGGGTGAGGGGAGCACCCTGTTGCAACAGTTCAATAAAGATCAGGCTTACTCGCTGCTTTGCTTCTCAAAAATCTCTGGTTGGCCTCTGTTACATTCTCCGACCAATGGAGAACCTGCAAAGGACTCTAAAAGGGCTCTTGTGTCCCCCATAAGGGAATAAGGGCAGATTTTCGTTTATTACAGAGTTAAGGGAGAAAGAGGGTTGGAATTGAGGGAGACAGGTTAGGAGACAGGTTGAGGTATAAAGAGTGAATAAGACAAAGTGTTGGTTCTGGAAAATCAACTTCCACTCTGAGTGGATTGTGAAGGACAGAGTGTGGTGTCCTATAGGAGGAACAGACAGGAATTTTACTGGGAGGTTGAGGTTGAGTCAGGAGAAGTAGGAGCTGGAAAGAAACAGCCTACTTGGGACTCAAATCTAGCCTGGAGGGGAGAAATTCTTCTTAGGAAAAGAAGAAACCCCCAGACCCAGTAAAAGGAGCAGGAGTGGAGAGCCCTTTGGTCTATTACTTAAAGTACCTCAGGAGCAGGAGTGTTAAAGGGGGTGGATAACTGAAAGAAAGTATCACTGTATAAAGGAACCAAACCTATAACGCAAAAACAACCGAGGATGAATTAAAGTGAAATCGCACTGTATTCTTGAAGTAACCTAAGTTTAATCGATTTGTGTTATATACTATCTTGCCTTAAATAAATCTTTTATTGTTTATTTAAAGAAAATCTGGGTGGAAGAAGATTGGAAGAAATTCAAAGATTATCTACAGAAATATTGTAAAATTAATGAATGTTAGAATGATGTTGGATAGTAATTAAGTGGTTTCCAGCTGTAATGCTTTAAGGGAATATGAAAAAAGGGTTATAAATAGGTAAAAATTTAATATTATTATTTTTAAAGGATTTGCTGAACCAACAGATTGAAGTGGAACACAAAAAAGGGAGGTATGAGGAGGTCCGGGAAATAAGTCAAAGGAAAATAAGTAATGGAAAATCTGTCTGTTTTTAACTATTTTTATTTTGTATTTTTGTCATTTTTTTTTCATTTTTATTGTAATATTTTAAAAAATCTTAATAAATATCTTATAAAAAAATAAAAAAGAAAATCTGTCTGAGACTCCAACTTACTAATTACCCCCTCACAAAGATCCTCCACAGGATACTCTGGGCTAGAATTTTGTGAGGGAAGGGGGAAAAAACCTTTGGGTAAAGGGTTGTTCAGTGAGGTGGGGGCAATTCATCTGAGTGAGAGTGGGCCCAATGGCGTGAGGGGGAAAAGTGGCAACGTACCCGTCACAGCAGCACTTGATATAAAACTTAGAAACTTATAATAAGACTTAACCTTAACACTAAGCATACAGAAGAGAATATGAGACCAAAGAAAGAGAAAATAAGAGTGAGAGCCAGGCTCCTCCTGGCCTCACTATTATAGTCAGCTCAACCTTGACAGAAACAGCAGAATGAATTTAAACCAGCTGTACACAGTTCCCAGGAGAAATAACCAATACATCAGAAACCTTCCTGTTTCTCTCACATAGAAATAAACCTTCTAGAACATTCCTGAACTAATCAGAATAGGAAAGATCTCTACACATCAGATCAATACTTTCTGTACTAAGAAATGAAGACTGACACAGGGAAAGATGGTGCCAAAGGAGGGCCTAAGGCGTTCCTTTCTGCCTTGAGTCCCGGCTTACCTCACTGCAGCGGGCAGCCATTTTCTCCCAACATTAGCAGGAGTCAAAATGTTTTTTAACTCCCCACCCTCTAACCCAGTGAAAATAAAATGAACCCAAAATTTTATTGTTTCTTTTATTTCCTTTATTTATGACTCTGACCTGTATGCCACACTGTCTCTTTTATTTATAAAAATATTTATATTAACCAGGCCTTTGGCTGATTAATATTCTACAGCCTTTTAAATGTGTCTGTGGGAAGGGGAGTGTTATTGTTTTGCTGTTTCGTTTTACTTGTTTACTTGGTTTTATCCTATATTCTGCGAACCGCCCTGGGATGTTATGATGAAGGGCGGTATATAAATCCAATAAAAAATAAATATATTTATATACTGATGTAACGTAATTCCCTGGGGAGGTCACTTTGGTTCTGCTAACACACAGTTGGGCTTCACCCCCAGAGGTGCACTCCATTGTCTTTTGAGGCAGATGAATGCCAACAATATCACAACAGTTTACAAAAAAAAATAAACATAAATAAAACATTATTATAAATCAATATGAATATTTCCTGTGGACATGCCATGGACCATCTAAATGAAGGTTGTGAACCACTGCTAATCGATCCACAGACCAGAGTTTGGGAACCCCTGATATAGGAGAAATCCTAAGATCTCTGGTCCAAATCTAGTCATATATTGAGAATGTTTGCTATGTACACAGCTACAGTTAACTTCATTAGGGGAAGAATGACTATCTGAGGTTAAAGAGCAACTGAACTATGAACCCATCAGCCTAACCTACTTTACAGGGTGGTTGTGAGCCTAGCTTCCCCGCCCCCATCCTAAATTCACTTTGGAATGAGTTGCTTCCTTCTGTCTCCCTCCCCGATACATTAAGGAAGACATTCTTTTCTTGGATTTTGCTAGCCTCCTATTTTATCTGCACCTTCTAAGCAAGTAAGAGAAGTTCACTACACGCTCAGCCTCAAGGGGAGAAAACAAGAGAATCTTGATAATTCTTGAGACTGATTTCAAAGTGGATCCCACACCAAGTCTCTGCTTAGTCACTTCCCCTTAACCAAGAGCCACCTTAAGAGGACCCTGAATCTTTTCAGACCAGAAAAATAACAGGCAGGATGGAGAGACAGGCAAAGTCATCACCCCAGTTGGGAGAAGATGCTGGTGACACACACAGCAGAGCCTCCAAAGGGGAAAGTTCAGGTACTCATATGTAGGAGTAAGAGATATTTCAAGAGCAACACTGAAGTGATTGAATAATTCAGCCCTAGAGAACAGAATTCTAAAATAAAGTGCCAACTTTTTTAATCAGCCCTGTTCCTAGCTAATTAGCAGACTAATTAGCAAAAAACAAACCAAGCCAGTGGTCCAGCTTGCCCTCAATGCCAGAAAAGTTTGACGGTGCCTGTTTCTGCAGATCAAGTGGCTGTTTAACGCCCTTGTGATTATTATTTTTTCTAATAAATTTACAACCTTAATGGAGACAAAACCAAAAAAAGAGGGAAGATAACAGCAGTTCTCTAGAGCAGGCTTCCTCAACCTCGGCCCTCCAGATGTTTTGAGACTACAATTCCCATCATCTCTAGTTAGCAGGGCCAGTGGTCAGGGATAATGGGAATTGTAGTCTCAAAACATCTGGAGGGCCGAGGTTGAGGAAGCCTGCTCTAGAGGACCCATAAATCACCCAATAATGTTGTTTTTACAAATCAAAATCTTGATGATAATTTAAGTATAGACGTTACCCTTTGATGGTTGTTTCATTAGGAACATCCTCCGTCAGACTCCCTTTTGTCTTCTGGGAATAGGATTTCTTTTCAGCTGGGGTTAATTTAGGTGTTGCTTTCATCAGCTGCATCCTGGCTAGATCCTCTGAGGTTTGGAAGAAGGCTGTGCCGAGAAATCAAGAAAGCACCAACAAACATCTTCAGTAACCCTGTACAATTAGAGCTCTGCATAAGATGAATGTGTAGAGAGTGTCAGGATCAGGCCCACGGACCCTGGCCCCAACCTTATATTCATGCACTTACAAGCTGTTAAGTGCCTAGATAAAAACTGGAAAATGAGAATTGGCACTATGCATACATTTTTTTTTTTAATGAACGCACAGAAATCAGGGTCTTCACGGTCATCAAAATATGGTTTATCTATACCTGAGTAATGTCAAGGAAAAAAGAAACTTAATACCAGGTTTTTGCATCAAGAGCCAAGATTCTGCAGCCAGTAGATGTGCTACAGATTAAACATCCATGTGTATATAATTATTTTGCTTCTAAGAAGTATATAGGACTTGCCGATCAGAAGGTCGGCGGTTCGAATCCCCAGGACGGGGTGAGCTCCCGTTGCTCGGTCCCTGCTCCTGCCAACCTAGCAGTTCGAAAGCACGTCAAAATGCAAGTAGATAAATAGGTACTGCTCTGGCGGGAAGGTAAATGGCGTTTCCGTGCGCTGCTCTGGTTTGCCAGAAGCGGCTTAGTCATGCTGGCTACATGACCCAGAAGCTGTACGCCGGCTCCCTCGGTCAATAAAGCGAGATGAGCGCTGCAACCCCAGAGTCGGCCACAACTGGACCTAATGGTAAAGGGTCCTTTTACCTTGAAGAGGTATGTATTTGGCTATATGATTGTTACTCCCCAGATTTTTGTGCCCGAAACACCACTACTAAAGTGGTTTACAGCAAGGAAACGGAAGCTGCACACAAAATATATGCTACACTGGAGTCAGATTTACATATCCAGTTGTTTTAAGCGACTTTCTTAAAAATTCACTTTTGCTATGGGAAGTCTTTGATTTATTACAACTGGGGCTTTGGCCTACTGAGCAACAACTCATCCCATCCAGAGTTCCCTTTATTGTGGATACAAACCTCCTTTTGAGTTCTCAGATTTCTCCCTTCTCGTGGGAGAACTGCTTGTCCTTTTTCTCTTGGAGCAATCCAGTTGTTGGGCTCCCTCTTCTTCTCTCTTTGATGCAGAGATGCCAGGAATTTCTACTCCACTTCCTGTCCCTTCAGATTTGCCACAGTTCCCATCGCTGGCTCCACTTCCTTTGCTGGAAGACAGAGGGGCACTTGGGCTCTTAGCCCCACTTCCTATCCACGGAGATGAAGAGCTCTCTAGATCCTCATCTCTATCTCCATTCTCTGTGGACATGGCAGCAGCACTGGGGTTCTTAGCTACATCCGGGGCATCTGGAGTCTTGACTTCTCTTTCTTTGCTGGAGAGCAGGAGACTGGCATCTGGGTCCTCAGTGCTGCTTGCATTTCCTGGAAGCATAACAGCATCATCTGGGCTCTGAGATCCACTTCCTGCCTCTGAGGATACAGGAAAACCTATAGTCTCAACCTCTCCTACGCCCTCTTGGGACTGGGAAGCATCCTGGTTTTCAGATCTAGCCAGATCCATGCTCTTGGATCCACTTCTTTCCCCTGAGAATTCAACAGAGTCTGGGACCTGAAGGTCATTCCTGAGATTCAAGTGATCTGAAAGAATCAGATTTAAAAAACCAAACAAATAACTTTTAGTTTTTCGAATGTCGGTTTTTGTGTGTTGTGTATTGTTATTTTTCGTGCTGTTGTTGTTGTGTAAAATACTAATAAAATTTTTTGAAAAATAAATAAATAACTAAACAAAAAGGTCAGATTTGGGGAGGGGGCTCAATACTTCGTCATTACAAATTCAATTTCCTTCCTTTTACAATTAACTGAAAGTGATGCCCAATGACTCCTGTTGAAGCAGTGTAGATAAAAACCAATGCTTTTTAAAAAATATTTTTTTAAAAAAATCAGATTTTTTAATTTAAATTTCATTTTTAAAATAAAATGCTTTTGGAGGAAAAATCTTTCTAAAGATAGTTTCCTGTTTAAGTTGCATTATAGTCCAAAGGCTATTCATCAGGAAATAAGGATTTGCTTTAAGTTTTTCATGTGTGCTAAAACTCTAAGTTGTTGTTGTTTTTAAAAAAAGTTGTTTAACCACATCAGTTAACAAACATGGATACATATGCTATAATGTTATTGTTTTTGTTAAATAATTTTTAAAAATTGTTACTAAGGAAATGATTAGTTTTCTCCTTCCAGTAACGTACAGCAGAAAAGTTATCCAAATATAAACAGCTAACTTATTAAACCTCAAAATAATTTTGTAATTATCTGTCCATGTATTTCTAATAGTATAACCAAATCAGTAATTTTTGATATAACTGTAAAAACTACTCTGAAAATTTATTATTCCAAAAATGAAACCTTCATCTGGTTGTAAAGATTAAGATTATACTAGCAAGAATGAGTCTTTCTGGAAAAAAAGAAGATTTAAATCAAGTCTTACTGACTAGTAATTTAAATTGATTTGATTTAAATCAAATCCACCCTGTGTTGAAGCAAAATCCAAAGCATCTGAGAGGTCCTGGAGAACTATCAGGCTTGCCTTCCCCTTACCCTTTTCCCAGCACAGGCCAGCCGGCAGAGAAACTCATTGCCATAACTGAGCTTGAAAACCAAGCCAAACCACACACAGTTATCCTGGCAACCTTCCAAATCCCTGACCTGGGATGAAAGGAAGGACAATTTTCTTGCATTGCCAAAGGCCCTCAATCCCCCTGTATTGTTTCTTAATGGCCCTAGCTTGGCCAGGTCGTTTTGCATAAATTAGTTCAGGAATTCCTCTGCAACTTGTATTTCTCCCTTCAATCAAAATCCTACCATTTATTAATTTCTAGGGTGTGTGGAGGGCCCCCCCCAAACTTATAATCATGTAAATGAAAGTTCACAAAAGCAGCACTAACAGCTTTGGACGAAATTCAAGGCGCAAGAGGACTTCAAGACACAGAGAGAGAATTTGGTGCTGCTGCAGGTGAGAATTTAACCCTTCGGAAAAACAGAAAGCACCTCCAGGTTTTAAAAAGTGTTACTCACCATCTTCTACATATTCAGAAATAGGCTGAAGGCTTGGGAAGGCTTGCCTCAGGTTTTCCAGGCAGTCCAAGAACAGTTCCTGAGTTGATTCTTTTTTTCCCAGCACTAACTCGATCAGGCATTCCACAAATGCTTGTGGATCCTTTATTTCACTCAGGGAGAAGAACTCCCCCTGTGTGAGGAGCAGGTGGGAATCTGCCACATCCAAGATCAGCTCTGAGTCTATTAGAAGAAGATCTTCTGCTAATTTCCTTCTGGCCCTCCATATAATTTCAGATGGGTTCCTACCGGAAAATGCCATGGCTTCCAAACCGGTAGCCCTAAAATTGTTGAAGAATGAACAAACACTGTCTTTGTATAAACAGCATTTCAAGAAGGCTCTCTAAGGATTTGGAGTAATTGATCCAGCAAATGTCCGACACCAAACCTGTAATTCAACAGAGAAAGCACCTGTATGATATCGAGAGACAGAATCATCTGGCCACAATTTTTGTCCATGGTATGATTATTTTCCACCTAGTCATTTTGACACCCTATTTGCAAAATGTAACAGTTCCAAAATACAGACGTGCTTTCACTTTCGCAAGACTGAATACGCTGCCTTTGGCTGTACCAGAGGGTCGATTTCAAACAATTCCACTGGAAAAATGGTTATGTGCCTGGGGAGATGGCAGTATTGAGTCAGTGGCTCATGTGCTTCTGGCTTGCCCTCTTTATAAAGATTTGAGTTTATTATTACCCCACTATTATTGTCTGTGCTGGGCTGCTCAACCATTGCTACTGTGTCCTTCCTTGAGCAGATCAAGATGATCAGGTGACGGCGAAAACTGCAAGGCTTTTAGCGGGGGCCATTAGAATAAGATCTATTATTAGATTACTGATGTAAACCTCCAAAATGTATTTTCTATAGTTAACTCTAAACCTGTATCTTCAGTACATTTTATTTCATTGCTATGGCTAGTGACTGAGGCAAATAAAGACTTTTCTTCTTCTTCTGATCCAGCAAATGCTAATTGAACTATTTCCCCATCCTGAGCATTTATTTATTCAAGATGGGGCCTGCCACTAGCAGGATATAAGAAATCTGACTGAATGAGCATTCACTTTCAATAGATTAAGTGGATATCCTCACAAATGAGTGGTTTGCCTGCCCTGTTGTTACCGTCTAGCAGTATAAATTAGCTGCAACAAAGGCTACAAATAGCGCGATTAGGTTAAAATTACCACCTTCCTTTCTGGTGGGGGTTCTGTGCCTTTAGAAGCTAAGTGATGGGTAGAAATTCAACAGGTTCTGCTCTTCCAGCACAGCATTGAGAAGCTGCATGTGTTGGTATCTGCCTCTTATGCAGTTATTCAAGGCTTAGAGATTGTGTGCAAGCGTTTTTGCGGGGGGCGGGGGCAATCGCCAATATTTATAATATATTCAAAATAATATGCCAATCCTGAAATATAATAAATTATTTTAAAAACAATTCCAAATATAAAGCTTATCTACAGCTTTAAGATTGCTTTTAAAGGAGCAGAAAATCTAAAGTTTTCCATAAAAATGTTCAAACTTCAAAGGAAGCCCAACTACAGTGCAAAAATGAATCCAACCGTAATTTGGCAAGGGGGGTTGACAATAAAAAGCTACTGAAAATGTATATGTTTAGGGAAGCTTTTAATATTTAATAGACTATTGTATTTTAATATTCTGTTGAAAGCTGCCCAGAGTGACTGGGAAAACCCAGCCAGATGGGCGGGGTATAAATAATAAATTATATTATTATTATTTACACATAACTGTTGTACAAAAACTTGGGAGCACCAAAACACAACGCTCTGATGAACATTAAATATTCGTGTTCTCAAGTTTGTTGTGCTAATTTAGGATGGCACTGATATATGTTTGTTAAATTTACACCCCCTTCCTTCCTTCAAAATTTCATTGATTTTCTTGCATCTCGAGGAGCAAGGCTTCTTGTTTATCAGAGTATTTAATGCTACCGGTAACTTGTATTTTTGCAATTGCTACTTGTTTTAGCTTTCGAATTGGCTTTTATCTGAGAGCTGACTTTGTACCTCTGAATTATTAGCCGTGAAAGACTTCATTAGCTATTCTGCTTTCACACAAGCATACACAAAATCCACCTATTTTTTTTGTTTATTGCAAGCAGAGGTTAAGGAATATGGTCAGTAAAAATTAGAGCTGACAACTTAAATCATCAAAATTAAATGCATATACTTACGTGAGATGTAAAGCGCAGAGCCTACGTTCGTTCCCTGAGAGTTAAGTTTCTATGCTTTGCGCTTTCGCTTCTCCTGTAAACGACCCCACCTCTAGAGAACAGAAGAAACGAAACTGAAGGTAGAAAAAAAAGAAACACATTTAACTGTTTCTATGACTAGATGGGCTGGGAGGAGCTGGGAGGAGATTGTGCTATTGCCTCTGACTGATTGCTTTGTCATTGTTACTTATTAGTTCATACCGTTTATACACATTATATCCAGTTGTTTTAAGTTGCTTTAAATTTCATCTTCTGTAAGTTGCTATATCTTGTTTTATTTTCTATCTACAAATTCCACAATCTTTCATAATACCAGTGAACTTGTAGCCCAATAAACTGAGTGATTTGTTTCAGTCACAATCCATTTCTGTGGTCTTACTGGTTCCACTTGGTTCCTTCTGAGCAAATTAGAACCTTGAATGAAGGTTAATGCATTGGCCAGGATTTGGCACGATATGCACCGACCTTCATTGGATCTCCAAATAAACAATGGCCACCTGTCAATCAAACCCACTTGGATCACCGGTGCTTAAAATGCCACCGTTTCCAGCCTTCTTTGTCTGTCTTGACCCCCCTCAGACTACAACTGCTGCCCGAAATCAACAGCACCAGAGGCCACAACTGCTTTTTGCTGTGTTAACTTGTGCATGGACAATTAGACCAATGTTCTGGTACAGGGTTTTATTTCCATTTTGCTCTGCATATTAAATTATCATTTGGGATAAGCTGCTTAATTGGATTTCTGAGCTGTGCCGAACTCTGGACGCACTCAAGGGGTGTGTCCCCCCCCATCTCCTCCATCGCTCAGTGCTTGGGATAGCGGGTGGGTGGGTGGGTAGATTGAAGTAGGCAAGCAGGAGATTTGGGATTCATCTGGATGCTTCCCGGCTCCAGAGGAGACCCTTTTAATGATTTAATTTGCAAAAATTGGGAATGCCTAAATGCTTTACCGTGTGTGTTTAATTCTAGAATGCTCCCCAGTAACTCTTGTGTGATTAAAATAAATAAAAAAATAGAAAAATGTCCAGTAGCACCTTAAAGGTAAAAGGAACCCCCGACCATTAGGTCCAGTTGCGGACTCATCTTGCTTTACTGGCCTTGGGAGCTGGCATACAACTTCCAGGTCATGTGGGCAGCACGACGAAGCCGCTTATGGCGAACCAGAGCAGCACACGGAAACGCCGTTTACTTTCCTGCTGGAGCGGTACCTATTTATCTACTTACACTGCGTTGCAGGGATTTGAACCGCCGACCTTCTGATTGGCAAGCCCTAGGCAAGAAAAGAGCCAGTATTGCATATGATGTTGATTTCCTAGCTGCAATTTAGCTACGCTGTTAACCAGACCACCATAAGGTCCTTATTCTGGGTGACACTCTATGCAGGCAGTGGCAAACGGAGGGAAAGAGAATTGGGATGGGGGAGGCTTTGCAGCTGGTCTGCTAGCAGAGTTGGCACTGGAGTGGGGGGGGGGGCACCATCTGCTACAGAGCCCAGAGGAGCTGACTTCTGAGGAGACTATTTAATTGCACCATTGTTTCCCAGTCTGCAGAGATGAGTAACTGCTCACGCATTGTCCAAAGCCAACCCTTCTCCCAAATTTGAGGACCTGCAAAATGTTTAGTTTGGCCATAGCTACTGCTGCACATATGGGACTTGCAAGCCCAGTTTCCTGAGGCCAGCTCCACACAGATATCAGCAGCAGTAACATTGGAGTCGGCATGACGATCAAGAGCTCACCTCCCAGGTTGAGCAAGCAGCAGCAGGAAGATATAGTTGCAATCTCCGAGCGGTGCAAGATTCCAGGGGTTCTGGGACAGGGTTCATGTTTTGGGGATGAGGCACAGCTGACACTGTGCTGTCTTTGGTTTGTTTATGCACACATATATAACCTGAGCCTATGATGGAGGGGTTCACAGCATTAACACCCCAAAAAGGTCTTGTTTCTATCATAGCTGCAGTCTTGTATCCAAACAAAAAATAAAAGTATTGGTGTTCTCTCTGTCTTTCTAGCCTGCAGCTTTTTATTCCAGCTTCTGGTTCACATCACTCAACTCTGACCTTTCGTCTTTCCAACTATCCAGGGAGGGAGGCTGGCAAATTCCCTTCAGGCAGAGCTTTCCAAACGTTTCATGTTGGTGACACACTTATTTGACATGCATCATTTCGTGACACAGTAATTCAGTTTTTACTAGCAAACAGGAGGTTCAGCTAACCCCTTTCCAGCCCCGGGAGGAGAGCATGGACACATGACACACTAACATGTCACAAAGTAGAGTTTGGAAAACTCTGCCTTAAGGACTCCTGCTGTGGGCCATTACCAGGCTGACCGGCTATTCCAGCCTTTGCATCCATGCCGCATCCAAGAATTAGAAGGGGGCAGGCATTTAGCCTACCCCCCAAAAAAGTCATAATATATAGCCAGCAGAGGATTAATTCTTCCTAGGCAGCAGCAAAAGGAGGATCAGAATGGACAGCCATCATTTTCCTCTTCTCCAAAGTGTGCTTGCAGAGAAGGGATTAATGGGGAGGCAGTCTGCAATCATCCACCTGTGACCACTTGCCTGTTGAACTATATCCCAGCAATGACATACAGTACCTTCTCTTCCCCAGGGCTGACGCCCCAGCTTATTTCCCACAGTCTATTTTCAAACAATTTGATCAGTGATATGGTTAATAAATGGTATTCTTATAGAAGGGTGTGTACGTGTGTGTGTGTGTGTGTGTGTGTGTATAGATATATATATATACACACACACACACACACACACACACACACACACACATATACACATATATATACATATTCTAGATGTCACCTTTGGAATTCCCTCCAAGCTCCTAGTTTTAGATCCGCAATAAGAGATTCTATAGGGGAAGGACTGCTAAAAGTGGCTGTACCAGCCTCGTTGTTAATAGCCGCAGCCAAGTCTGTTAAGTATCTCTTTGCTTGACTAAAGATGCTTCCAGAAGGTTGAACTGAGTAAACAGTCCTCCCTCCCTCCCTCCCTCCCCAGCTGGGATGTCATCATTTAGTGGAGCAGAATAGGCTCTCAGCTTGGACTGGGCTGGAAATAAGACACAGAGGCATGGGTGTAGCCGGGGGGGGGGGAGCAGCTGTCCCCCCTAAATCAATAAAAATACATGGATAACTTGAGGTTCCCCTCTCCCAAAAAAATCCTGCCTTTGCCCATGCACAGAAGCTTAACTTCCTCTCTTCCAGCTATGAAACGAAGTGTTCTGCTTTTCTACGTCCTGGAAGTAGTTGGCTATCCCTGGTCATGTTTATTCAAAGGAATATGTTGCCTTCGTATCCTCTGTCTGCAGCATTATTTCTCCAACCCTGTTAAATACAAGATTTGATGGATATTCAGCCCTACTTTATTAACAAGGCAAACAGGCCAGACCATGGAGATTACACAGTGTTTGCTAGAATTGGGAATTTGCACTTTTTTATTGGAGTATCACAGCAAAAAAATAAAATAAAAATCCCTCTAACACAGTGGTGAGGGCAGAGGGAAACCCTTCGTCCTGATGCCTGATTTTTTTCCTTTTTTTAAAAAAAGTTGATGGTAACGGAAAGATCGAGTGGAGAGAGGGAGGACGGAAATAATACATCATTGTGCAGCGAAGGGGAAGAACGTTCTGGAATCCCACACCATTTGCGGCAAAGGTGCCAACTTGGTGTTGTGAAAGTCTTTTCCTCTCAAGGTGAGGGGTGTGTTTTTGGTGCTTGTGCAACGGAGAAATCCTTCCCTGGCGGAAGACTGCTGTCTTGCTTTTGGTTCCCCCAAAGAGGGTGCAATAGAAACTCCTCCCCCGGCAGAAGGAAGGGGGATTTTCTTTTGGTGCCGGGCGCTGCAAGGAAAGTCTTTCCTGTGAGTTCGAGAACGGCCCGTGAGGGCCAAACGAGAATCAGTACATGCGACAGTAAAAGCTTCTGGCTCACCCAATCTTTGTATCCACGAAAAGAAAGAGAGAAAAATTAGGCCACACAAGAGCCTGGATGAGCTGGCTGTGTACAACAGTTGTCTGACGGCTTCAGAAGTTCTCAAAGGGGGGAGGATGAACGATGTCCACAGGCTGTCCCAGTAAATCTGGATTCGAGAGATCTGTGGTTAACCACAGAGCATGCCCACCCATCCCAAAAGGACTGGAATAACCAGCAGTAAGTGGATGACGTCCCATCAGCAATTGAACAGGAAGAAGGAAACTACCTCAACTATTTTCTCAATTTCAGTAGGATAGCATAGCACATTCGTAGGAATCCATAGGAGAACAAGCAGATCCATGGGAAATTAGGTTTGGTGTCATGTGCTGAAACTTCCTCCTGCAGCCAAGGAAGGTTCAGCCCACACGAGAGAGAGGGGATCTTTAGATGCGGAAGCTCTCCTCTTTGCCATCAATGTGCTTGAGGCGCAGGTACACATCGGTGCCAATCCCCTGCATAGACTGGAGGGTCAGGGAGCCACCCAGATACTCGGCATAAGCACGGGACGTCGGTAGTCCAAATCCAAACCTAGAGAGAGAGAGAGAGGACAGACAGAGGAGTCCTTAGTTCCACAGCCAATTTTGTGGGGAGAGCAAGGTCCAGTTGACTGGAGGAAGTCTGGAAGGAATACAGTGGTACCTCGCAAGACGAATGCCTCGCAAGACGGAAAACTCGCAAAACGAAAGGGTTTTTGGTTTTTTGAGTTGCTTCGCAAGACGATTTTCCCTATGGGCTTGCTTCGCAAGACGGAAACGTCATGTAAGTTTGTTTCCTTTTTCTTAAAACCGTTAATACAGTTGCGACTTGACTTCGAGGAGCAACACATAGCACGCGGTGTGGTAGCCTTTTTTGAGGTTTTTGAAGACTTTGGTGATTTTTGAAGCTTTTCCAAAACTTTTCCGACACCGTGCTTCGCAAGACGAAAAAACCGCAAGACGAAAAAACTCGCGGAACGAATTAATTTCGTCTTGCGAGGCACCACTGTACTCTGCAACACATTTATACGGTAGTTAAGTCTTAGTCCATGTAGCTTTCATTCCATGGAATGCTTTCGCTACATGATTTTTTGAAAGGGGGAGACTTTTCAGGGAGAGCTGCTGCTTGAGGAAAGCTACAAAAAGGCCAGAATATCTTGTGACAATTGCATCTTTAATAATACATCTTTTTTTGCCAGGGCCCTGCGTGATCTGCTGCTGCACTGTGTAAAAAAACACTAAATTTTGCATTTTGAGAATCTCATTATCGTTCCCTTTCCCCCTCCTTCAAATGGCAAGCTTCTAGGTCAACGATGGGGAACCCATGGCCTCCCAGATGTTCCTAGACTACAAATCCCACCATCCTTTTCTATTGGCCATGCTTGACCATGCCTGATGTGAGTTGGAGCCCAGTATCACCTTGGAAGCCCCCAGGTTCTCCAGCCCCCAAGGTGGAAAGAAGTTTGAAAGAAAACCTGGTCCAATTAGTGCCACAAGTATTTATCTATTTACTACATTTCTGTTCTATCCTTCCACTCAAAGGAACCCGAAGCAGCAAGTACAAAGTGCTTTAGGTACTCCTTCCGTTTCTATTTTTAGTACTCATAATGTCTGCAGATTGACTGGTGTTTTCTTCCTAGGTATGTATCATTCTTTCCCCCCTAAGAAAACACCCTTCGGGCAGCAGCTGCTGGAAATCCCATTTGCCCCTTCTGTCCCCCCCCCTTTGTTCTTACCCATGCATGGGTCCCGACTGGGCGCTGTTCCCCATTTCCACCATGTTCCCAAAGAGGGTGTTCATGCGGGGGTCCTGGGCGCTCGCTTCTGCTGTGGTGAAGTGGTAATCTGTCACCTTCTCAACGTGGTCATGAGGAATTCCGGCACCTCGGTCTGAAATCCTGCCGGGAGAAAGAGGAGCCACACCTTACGGTTCCCAAGATGCTTTAGTCCCTTTCACCTGCCAACACCCGTCCCTCCCCATCACGAAGATGATCATCTCAAGTTGTCCGCCTCAATGGGAGGACCCCCACATATTTTCAAGGGTCCCTGGTATTTGGCCGCTGTGCCAAGTTCCCACCAAGATGGCGGAAATGGATGGTGGCGTAAAACCTCTAGGAAAGGGGAGAAACTGAAGAGGCTTCCCTGGCAAACCGTACCGTATGATCAGGTCAATGTCATTGTTGGCAATGGTGATGATGATGTCTGGCACGTTATAAGGGGTATCCAAGTGAGACTCCATCGTGGCTCTGAAAGCAAGGGAATGGCAAGGGAATAAGTCTGCGTCCTACCTAAGCAGCACCCCTACACCCTTTCCCACTTGTAATGAAGCTCTCCTCCATTCACAAAGTCTTGCAAACCTATCCTTGTTGCCAAAGATTTGGTAGAATACTTCCAATCAGCACACCAAATCCTGCCTTCCATAACTTCTGCAGGCCCCTCTCCCCTCTGCAAATTCCTTCACCCAGTTAGAGTCAGGAACGTTGGTCAGAATCGAGTGTCTGCTTCCAGAATTAAAGCTAAATACATTACTTCTGGTAAATGAGTCATCATAGTTGCTATAGGGCTGTGAAAATTTGTGTCCTGGGCTTTTTAGACTCATCTACCCATGTACTATCTGAAACCAAAGGGTTGCCAGATGTGAAATATCTTGGTATTGTTTCCAGCTCTCCCACCCCACTAAATGGTCACTTTTTAAAGCCAGCATTTGTCAACTTTGGGTCGGGGATCATGGGAGTTGTAGTCCAGCAACATCCAGGGACCAACGGTTGAAGCCAATAGTTTCACCCCTCTGTGTTTATGTATCCCAACCCAACCCAACCCAGTGCCCTTCAGGCTACAGCTCCCATCATCCCTGAGTCACCAGCCAGGACTGATGGGAGTTGTAGTCCAACATCTGGAGAACACCAAGCTTGAGTAAGGTTCATCTATTCCTTTCAAAATGAAATAAGCAACTTTTGAGACAGGAAGGGCTTTGCACCAGATTGGCCCTATAGAAAAGGGAGTGAATCAGTGCTATGGGCTTTAATATTTCATTATTCATATAGGTATTTACATGCCACCTTATCAAAAGATCTCAGGGCAGTGGAAAGCCCAAAAAGCCATTTCCCTTGCAGATTCTAGCCTGCGTCTCATCCTGGGCTACAAAGAGGAGGATAAATAGCGCACCTCATGGCATTCTTGAGCAGCTCTGGAAGGATGTAGTCAAGAGGCATCGGGATGAAAGGAAAGCGGGCAGCCACGTGGCCATTGATCCGCACCCGAGGCGCATTCCCGTACTTGTGCTCACAGAGGCGCCTGCGAGGAAATACGTAAGCAGGATTAAGTGCAGGCTCCACTGCTGGTGGCTTCCCTGGGAGCAAGCAGGCACCAAACACATCCCCATTCCTGTGCCCTACATGCGTTTATTTAATGCAGCGGTTCTCAACCTGTGGGTCCCCAGATGTTGTTGGACTACAACTCCCATCATCCCTGAGCTCTGGCCTTGCTAGCTAGGGGTGATGGGAGTTGTAGTTCAACAACATCTGGGGGCCCACAGGTTGAGAAAGGCTGATTTAATGGGATTTCCTACCTGTCCCTCCCCAGAAGGTCACAACAATATAATATAGAGTTATAGAAACGACAAATCCATTACAGTTATAAAAACAAGTGAACTGTTTCCAAATGGATCTGAGCATTATAATTTAAGCAAAAAAGTGGGTCCTAAGAAACAATAATACCCTCAGTTTCAAAGACCAGGGTTAAGATGGTCATACGGTTAAGATTTGTCATACGGCAAATGCTGTACAATGAAGATGCTGGAGACACACCTCTGCAGGGAGGGAGTTGTACCCCAAAAACCCTCCCCCCTGGGCCACAGCCCCCTCCCACCCAAGAACTTTTGAGGGTGGCAGAACTGCTGAGGGGCCCCCTCTGCAGACCTCAACACTCAAGAAGGTTGGGGGATAAGCCCTTAGGGCTATGCTCTATGTGAGCCTAACTTGGCACTCACAAATGACCCTGGGGAGCTTCTAGGGCCCAGCTCTCTTACTGTATCTGTTTGGCCTCCATCCCAGTGAGTCCCATCTTAAATCCAGATTATTATGCAGGAGGGGAAAGGCACAAGGCCTTAGGGATCAGGGCAACTGACGTGGGATGCTGAGCTTTACCACTTATGTTTGCTTGCAACTACAGCAAAGCTTCCTGCCTAGCAATCCTAACAGCTGACTATTTGTATTTCATTTACACATTTTACGTTTCAAGTGACTTTTAAAACCAATATTAAAAAATAAGGTTGTTTATGTATGCAACAACAGCGGCCCATGTTTTGTTAGCCCAAAAATGGAAAATGAGTGCAGTCCCAACCAAAGAAGATTGGCAACTTAAGTTGAGAGAATATGCACAGCTTGCAGGCTTAACATATAGAATAAGAGAAGAACAACAACATACGTTTAAAGAAGGTTGGAAAGCTTATATTGAATATATGGAAAATAATTGTGTACAGCTGAAAATGCTGGCAGCATTAAGATAAATTTGACAGCGTAAATAAGTTTTGATGGATGCAATAATGGAAAACCGATTGGTATAGTTTTTGTAAAATATGCAGGGATATAAGATATTCAAAATGACAATGGAAAGAGAAGGGAAGTCATTGATCTCTTAAGTGTGTAAAATATTTATCTGAAATTGTAAAACAGAGAATTTAATAAAAATCATATTAAAAACAGAAAACCCGTATTAATTTTTTAAAAAGATTATTACATTGCATTATTGCCACAATTAATTGGCTTTCATTTTTTTTAAAAAGCAGCAATGGAAAAAAAGTTAAACCGTCAGAAAGAAATGCAGCAGAATGAGGAAGATGGAGCCACATAATATGGCCATGAGAGGGAGCCATAGACTGCTGCAAAACACATAGCCAGTATGATAACAGGATGATTTGAAATAATCAACAGAACTGAGTACCTGGCAAAATCTACCCATTTCTCAATTATTTTCTTTGGAGACAAGCGAGTGCAGATGATCCCAACGAAGTCTGGCTGCAGGAAGATGAGAGGAGAGGATGAGATTTCAATGTAGGATCAAGACCTAGAATAACAGTTTCTAAACTTTTCCTGCATGGACCACTGAAAAACAGACGAGGGCAGACCACTTAATGATTTTCCTTCACGTTTTGAAAGCGGTAAGTCTCCAGTCCAATCTGTGCCATCTCTAGTTACTCAAGAGATGTCTTAGGAAACAGAGCCAGGGGAAAAATCTCTTACCCAAGGCCCCGTAGAGCTGTTGTGGGTTATAGGAACAAAAATAGCATTAGACGAGCCAGTGTTATGTATGGGCACGGAAAATGCAGAGGACACCAAATGTTAAGTATCAATTCTGGGTCTCTCCCTCTCTGGTCACACAGCTGTTCACGAAATCTATGTCCTGTTCAAGTAAGAAGAAAAGTTGTACCTTGTCTTCATGCAAGGAAAGATGATGAATGGCCAACATCCGGATGCCCAGGCGAGAGGTGAGGGTCTTGTCCAGGAAAGAACGGATCAGCTTCTCATCCTGAGAAAGGAACAGGAAAAGCTCACCATCTGTAGAGCGGCCCTCACAAGCGGTTGTCCCATACAGTGGTACCTCGGGTTAAGTACTTAATTCATTCCGGAGGTCCATTCTTAACCTGAAACTGTTCTTAACCTGAAGCACCACTTTAGCTAATGGGGTCTCCCGCTGCTGCCGTGCCGCCGAAACACGATTTCTGTTCTCATCCTGAAACAAAGTTCTTAACCCAAGGTACTATTTCTGGGTTAGCAGAGTCTGTAACCTGAAGCATATGTAACCTGAGGTACCACTGTACAGGCATGTCCAAAGTCTGTTTTGGGGTCCTCCTTTGGCAGTTTATTTTCTGGGGTAAAATCCTAAAAAACCTTCAACAACTTCAACCCTAAAAAAAGCTAAACAACTTTGGGGTAAAATCAATCAAATTGTCAAAACCTTTATTGCATTAGCATACAGCCATAGCAAAATAAGACAAAAATACTAGAGACAAGCAACCAAACAAAATTCAAAGCAATATTACTGGCGTAATGACATTTAAATTACCCTAAGACAATAATGTAAAGATTTAGTTGCCAGCGCCAAGAATCCAAAATGCGGATGTATATAAAACATAAAATGGCCCCAAAATAGGCTCGGCACATTGGGTTGAAAAAGTAATAAAAAGAATTAAAACAGGTCCAGGTCTAGGACACACTACCCAGTCAGAGTAGCCCTGAGTTTCAGAGCCTGCACTATAAAGATTGCCACCCCACGTGAAATTTGGGGATTTGCGTCCACAAGAAGCGATTTCAAACAGTCTTCCTTAGATGTAATGGTGGACGGGATCAAGAGGAGGAGCTTAGGTCTTATTGGCTCATAAATAGGGCACTCGAAAAGAAATGTATGAAGTCCTCTACTTCATTCATTGTGCATGGACATAAACGCTGAGTAATAGGGGTCTTAGAGTAAATCCCCTGCAGGAAGGCCGTGGGTATAGAATGGAAACGGGCCATAGTAAACGCTCTTCTCGTAAAATCATAAAAAAGCTTAACAACTTCAATCCTAAAAAATGGTGAACAACTTTGGTCGGCCCTCACGGTCCTTCACTTCATCAAATCTGGCCCTCTTTGAAAAAAGTTTGGACACCACTGTTTAAAACCTGTCCAGGAAAAAGTCTGAGGGAAGGGGACATGTGAAGACGCACAGGTGTGTGGGTGTGTGACATGTGAAGACAGACTAACCTCTTACCACATCCTCTGCTTAGTGCAAATCAACTGCAGTTCGAAGGATGACACTGAAGGGGCCAGGGTGGATTTGATTTAAATTAAATCAATTTAAATCATGATTTAAATCACTAGTCAGTAAGACTTGATTTAAATCTTTTTTTTTTTAAAGAAAGACTCATTCTTGCTGGTATAATTTTAATATTTACAACCAGATGAACGTTTCATTTTTGGAATAATAAACTTTCAGAGTTGTTTTCAGTGTTATACAAAAAAATACTGATTTGGTTATACTATTAGAAATACATAGATAATTATGGAATTATTGTGAGGTTTAATAAGTTAACTGTTTATATTTGACCAACCTTTCTGCTGTACTTCATTGGAAGGAGAAAAATAATCATTTCCTTAACATTTTAAACAATTTATTTAACTAAAACAATAACATTATTGCATATGTATCCATGTTTGTTAACTGATGTGGTTAAACAGTTTTTAAAAAACAACAATACCTTAGACTGAGTTTTAGCACACATGAAAAACCTAAAACAAATCCTTATTTCCTGATGAATACCCTTTGGACTATAATGTAACTTAAATAGAAAACTATCTTTAGAAAGATTTTTCCTCCAAAAGCATTTTATTTTAAAAATCCAATTTAAACAATAAAAATCTGATTTAAAAAAAATAAATCCTGATCTTGATTTTAAAAAAATCATTGATTTTTATCCACCCTGGAAGGTGCTGAAGTGACAATGACCAGATTGGGCTGAGGATCTATAGCAGGCCTGAATAAACATCTCAGGAGTCTGCACTCTCCTCTTCAAAACCCACCCTCTTCCCAGAAATGTTGCCCTGGTCAAACCCACCAACCCTACTTTTCCAAGTCTTTCTTCCTCCCAAGCATGTTGTGGGGATCTTGAGCGGCAGACAGGTTGACCCAAGTTACCCAAACGGACTAGGAAAGCGGTACCTGTATGTGCTTCCGACATTCCCGTAAGCCCTCGGCCAGCAACGTCACCACGTCTTTGTGGTCATCTAGGAGCTGCCGGACCAGTTTGCAATACTGGGCCTCTGACTCTTGGTCCTTGATCTGTAAGCAGAGGAGAGAGAGAGGAGAGGGAGAGTGCGCATCAAAAAGAGATGGAACTTGGGTAGGGAGGTAATCAGAAGCAGGCAGGAGTCAGCCATTTCATCCCACTCACCCAAGAACCAGCAGCCCCTTATTTATCACCCTACAGAGCAGGGATGGGGAACCTTTTTTCAGCCTTAGGACTGGGTAATCTTCTGAAAATAGCTGCCAGTGGTGGGTGGAGCAACAGATTAGGCTAGGCATCCCCAAACTCGGCCCTCCAGATGTTTTGGGGCTACAACTCCCATCATCCCTAGCTAACAGGACCAGTGGTCAAGGATGATGGGGATTGTAGTCCCAAAAACGTCTAAAGGGCCGAGTTTGGTGATGCCTGGATTAGACTCTAGTAGCTGGCAGTCCAGCCACACAACCCTTGAAGTTTCCTATGTGTACATCTCTCTACCCAGGCAAGCGAGAGGCATTATGACCATTCAAGGACAGGGCCACTGAGGGGTGTGGCTTATGAAGAATGCAGAGGGCCACATAGAGAGACCTGGAGGGCCACATTGGTCTCTGGGTCTGAGATTTCCCATCCCTTCCGTAATAGCACCTGACACAACACTGCAGGCCATTTTGACGAATAAATAAAAAAAGGAACTTCCCGAACTGAAAACAACATCATGCCCCTTTGTTTATAGACATACACAAGGCCTGTTTACGTTTGTTTGTTAACATTGCCTTTATTGTGCAAAACCAGTAAAATACATTTGGGAAAACAACAAGGTCAACATCCCTGTACGCTCCGATTGACATTCACACGGCTATTCTATTAAATGTGGCCGACTCAATAGGACTCGGGACATGTTTAACAACTTCTGCATTCAAAGACGAAGCACATGCTTACCGGGGGAAATTCGCTCAGTTTCTGGAACGCTCGGATGTAAAGCTCGTGCTGAAAGAAGAGGACAGAAGCGACTCAAGGAGAGAGGCACAGGCTACAAAACAAATTTGACACCAAGGCCCTGAATCCCCCTGCTAGCTTCTGAGAAGGGTGTGGAATCTAAAAAGGTTAAAAGCCAGAGGTGCTAGGAGCCCATACTCCAGGGTGGGGTGCAATATCTTGCATTTATATGGTGCACTGGGTGGCTTCGAAAGCAGATTAGACAAATCCATGAAGGGAAAGGCTATTCGTATCTCCACTGTGGAGGCAGTATGCTTGCAGGCTTCCCATTGGCAAAGATGGGCCCTTGGACTGAACCAACCAAGCAGTTCTTATGCTCTTTTGCTAGGTGCCCTAAGACTGATGAGGTGAAAGGAAGCTCCATTTGGCTCCACCCATTAGGGAAAGGCCTAAAAGCTGCTGGGTCATCTGTGTGGAATATATGTTTATTCTCTTCTGCATTATTGCCATTTGTTTTAAACCACCTTGGTGAACAATTAATTCAAAGGCGGAGAACTAAGATGCATGCTGTGGTAAAAGGATAAAACTGGTCATGATTATGCACTTTTATTTTTTGTTATTTGAATGCCAGCTGTCCTGGTATCTCAAGGCCTGTCACATAGAGGATGGAGCAAGCTTGTTTTCTCCTGCTCCAGAGGTTGGAACCCGAACCAAAGGCTTCAAGTTACAAGAAAGGAGATTCTGACTAAACATCGGGAAGAACTTTCTGACGGTAAGAGCTGTTCAATAGTGGAACGGTCTCCCTCAGGAGGTTGTGGACTCTCCTTCCCTTGGAGGTTTTCAAGCATAGGTCCTCAGTCCTGGATGCTTCAGTGAAGATTCCTGCATTGCAAGGGGTTGGACTGGATGACACTCAGGGTCCCTTCCAAATCTGCAATTCTAAGATTCTATGAGGTTTCGAAACTATCCCTCAGTTATCACTACTTCTCGGTAGTGGCGCCCGCCCTGTGGAATGCCCTCCCTTCAGATGTGAAGGAAATAAGCAGCTATCTTATCTTTAAAAGACATCTGAAGGCAGCCCTCTTTAGGGAAGTTTTTAATATTTAATGCTGTATTGTTTTTAACACTCGATTGGGAGCCACCCAGAGTGGCTGGGGGAATACAGCCAGATGGGCGGGGTATAAATAATAAATTATTATTATTATTATTATTAATAATAATTATTATTATTTCAGCCATCTCTTTCGGTCAGCCCCTGCCAACCTGGTGCCCTCCAGATGTTTCAGACTCCCATCAGCCCCAGCCAGCTGTGGCAGAGGCTGTTTCAGGCGCTTTCCTGCCAGGCACCTACCACATGAAGGATGGTGGGGTTGCACCCAATAATGAAGGGAAGACTCCGAAAGCCTTTGATGCGATGAGCAATGCGGACGGGGAGTTCGTGGTGCAGGTAGCGGGCGCTTTTCTGTAACAGAGCACAAGGACACGTTAGTGGATAGAAGTTTCCAGAAGGAGGAGAGGAGCTGAGTTCTCTCCCATGCCCTGCAATATAGCTTGTATTAGAATGATGGGTAAGGCGGCTTTGCTTTGCGTGCAGAAGGTGTCAGGCTCAATCTCTGGCATCTCCAAGCAGGGCTGGGAGGGAGCCTTGCCTGAAACCCTGCAGAGCTGCTGCCAATCGGTGCAGAGAATACAATACTGAGCTACATGGGCCAATGGCCTGTCTTGGTATAAGGCAGGTTCCTATGTATTTATGTTCCATCTCACTCTGCCTAAGGATAGGGCCGGCCCTGTTCTTTTGGGCTCTTAAGGCCATCAGAGTGCCACAAATTGACCAATGTGGTTATGTGCAGCCAGGCAGGTTCAAAGAAACTGTTTCATGTGGTGGTCTTCATTTCAGGCAGCATTACATTAGCTGAGCAGCTTCAGATAGTTTGGGCCCAATTAAGTCTACAATGAAGGAACCTCAAAAAGGAGTGCGCAGAGCTTACAAGCCAGTTTCCCCCATAAAGGCATTCAGGGAGGCAACAGCTACTGAGTTATGGTGTGTTGCTGCAGCTACAGATTTTCATCTCCTGGAGAAGTGGGTGTAGAGATCCTGCTCTGAGCCAAAACTGGCTCTGGAGATATTGTGGGCTTCCTAGTTGCTTGGGCTGAAGCAAAAAACGAACACAAAGCAGACCTAGAAAGAAGCCTCCCATCCCCAGAGAAGCAATGGGGAAACAGGGATTCCTCTACCAATGGGCATAGTGGGATTCCTTGTTATGTCCACTACAAAACTAACATTCTGCCCATAGAAAGTGAGTCTAGAAGACAGGACTTTGCAGAGTTGAAAATGAGAAGGGGATGATGCAATGCTAAGGCCTAAGCAATTAAGAGTAGTGAAGGGAAAGAATGGGGCTGGTATCCAGGAGTCCCAAATTCAACCTGCAGCTCTGACGATTTGAGGACAGACGTTAATCTCACACCTACCAGCAGGTGGCTCCCATCTTGGGACCGTCCAGAATACAACATGGTGGTCGGTGTCAACCTCACAGAGGGCTGGGAAGAGAGAAGAGGGAACAAGTGTTCGCAAAGGCTCCAGAGAGCCCTCGTGAGGTCAGGCAGAACAGCGCCAGCATTGAGCATTGCCAGCCACAAAAATACCTTCTATCATTACTTAATACCTTCCTCTTCTGTGGTACGAAGGGCAGTTTCCCCCAGAGCTCACGGCTTCTTAAGGACGCCCTCTCCACACACCAGAGATGGGCAACTTTTGGCCCTCCAGATGTTGCTGAACTACAACTCCCATCAGGCCCAGGAAGCCAACGGGATGATGGAAGCCATAGTTCAGCAACATCTGGAAGACCAGATGTTCCCCACATATCCCATACACTCTCACTTGAACAGAGAGCACTAGAAATTGGACCCATCTTACTTCCTGCTGAGAAAAACAACTGACTCTGGTTGTAATGGCTAACCTTCCAATCTTCTATAATTCCCTCTCGCCCTCGTAGACCAACCATAAACACTGTTTATCACTGGGGAGCAGGATTCCCAGTATTCATTCATTCTTTTCTAAAATTTCTTACCAGCTCTTCACCACATGATCCCAGGGCAGCTGTTCCAGCGATACAATCAGACAAGAACAAATGCAGCCTTTCAGATATTTGGGTCTTAGGTCGCTAGGCTTCAGTTCCCTGTACGGCTCACTGCCACCATTACCATGGCAGCCAGGAGTAAAATAAAAAGGACCTGCTTCATAAGCAAATATGTGGAACTGGTTTTCTTATTAACAGAAACTGCTTTGTTATCAAGCAAATGGTGGTTGCCATCTCTGGCACTGCACATGCAACTTTCAGGAGCTGCGAGGATGTATAAGCGCAGCACTCCCCCAGCGCAGAGCTGCAACGAGGGGGGAAAGCTGCACCCGTTGCATTTCTGCCTGACAGAAATGCATGGAAGCCCAAGGTAAGGGGAAGGAAGGAAAGGGTGCAATTAACACTGGCAAGTGGTTCCTCCAGACATGTGAGGACACCTCTTTTCCAACCCCACACCTAAAACAAGGACGCTGCAGTCCTATGCAAGTAACTTCAGAAAGAAGTTTGTCTAAACCTAAGCAGGCGATGTGTTCCTGCGAGGAGACATATCAGGAACTTCTCCTGCCAGGCCTCTGTATAATGGCAGGCAGGTGGTTTATTTAATTAACCAGCATTCTCCCCAGGGCAGGCTCCAGACGGCCGGGAAAAGATTAGGCCTCTCTTCTCCCCAAAGCCCATACTGTGGACTGCCTCTCCAGGGCCGTTGCCAAGTTGTTAGGGGAAGTCATTAAACAGTAGCGATTAGCAAAACGGGGACCAAAGGCTGAGGAATCATACTGCTCAAAACAATAGCTGGAGGGATTTCAGAGGGGGAAAATGAACACAGAGAACTCTCTGCTACACGCACACACCCATCCCTCACGTCTCATCTTGCCCCGTGAGCACTAAAACAGCACTAGCCATGCCAAAACTAACAGCCTTCTCAGGCTGCTGAAGGCCATCTGTTTTTCCACTAGGCCAGAAACCAGCAGCAAAGGAATGCAATCCACCTGCTCAGACCTGTCCTTCATATAACACTCCTTTCTTGAGGAGAACTTCTGCCGCCAAGGAGCACAAGCGTGGAAAAGCCTAGACCTGCTCCTGGCTCCCAGCCTACCGTTTTAGGAAGGCGAGGCAAAACCTGCCCTCAGAGAGGCGGCGGTTGAGGAAACGGGAGCATCGGCCCCCTCTGCTGTGCGCGCAGCATGTTCAGCGGCCATGTTTGCGCTCACCTTCTCGGCCGCGACGTCAATGGCCGACTGGTTGTAGAAGGAGGTAACGGTCTTGGATCGCTCGCGGGCCAGTTCGTGGTGCTGGTCAATGGCTGAAGAGGACCGGTACCGCAGGACCGAGGGGAAGGAGGGGAGAGCACAGGGAGCCCGGCCCCCTGCTCCCCCCAGCTCCAGCATCAGCAATGTCTTCCACATCATTCTCTCTTCCGTAGGAACCTGGAGGTGGAAAGACAGACAAGGCAGTGCCAGGGGATTAGCGAGGCAGAAAACTTTTCCAGCGTTTTATTTTCCAGTGGTCCCGCCCCCCCCCCTTTCGCAAGTTCATTAGTAACGGTGAACAGATGAACAGATACCAAATATCTAATGCAGTAGGAGGCAACCTTGGCAATTTCCTGGCTTGTTTGGTTTTTAAGGTTCATTTACTAAATACAGATAAAACAAACATACTAAAATAGATCACCCACGAGGCCAGGGATGGGGAACCTGTGGCCTGCCAGCTGTTGTACCTTGGCTGTGGTGTACCTTGAAATCTCTCTCCCTCTCCAGTATGTGTGTGTACACACACGTTTGAATACAGCTTTACTCTGTGCAAAAGAGAGAGGGAGGCAGACACAGAGACAGAAAGTCTCTGAATGCATTTCCACTCCAGTTGTGAACTTTGAGACATCTGGCTGAGGTTAGAATTGTTAAGTTCAATAGTGCACTGATCTGATCCAGGTCAATTCTCAGATTTCTTTTTTAAAAAAATATTTATTTGGTTTTTCAGATTAAAGTTTTACAATCACATATCCAACATACAACATAAAAACAAGATTCCAAAGAACCTCCTGGACTTCCCTCCTCCCCTTTGTGGGTCCTATTGCTAATCATTTCCTCCTCCATCTTTTATGAGAATCCAAATCTTTTACATCTCCATTATGTCCAAGAATTCACCACTGAACTACAAGTGTTATTCCAATCCTACTAACAATTTTAGCCGTTTACAATGGTTTTTAAGATATAAATTTCTCCCATTCCTTATTAAAATTTTGGTCTTTCTGATTTCTGATTCTTCCAGTCATTTTAGCCATTTCGGCATAATCCATCAACTTAAATCTGCCATTCTTCTCTGGTAGGGACTTTATCTTCTTTCCATCTCTGGGAATTGAATTGCTCAGAGATGCAATTCTCAGATTCCTATGGCATCTCCCACTCACCACACCCTGATGGCTTGTATTTCCCAAAATGTTTAGCTACTAGACATGCTGGTTATACAGTCGTACCTTGGAAGTCGAATGGAATCTGTTCTGGAAGTCTGTTCAACTTCCAAATCGCGGCTTCTGATTGGCCGCAGGAATATCCTGCAGCCAATCGGAAGCCGCGGAAGCCCTGTCAGACATTCGGCTTCCAAAAGAACATTCGGAAACCAGGAACAGTCACTTCCGGGTTCCGATTGTTTGGGAGCCAAAACGTCCGGGTTCCAGGGCGTTCGACAACCAAGGTACGACTGTACTCCATAGTCGGATGCAGCATGCTTCTGAATACCAGTGGCTGGAACCCACAAGAGGGAAGAATGCTCTTGTGAGCTTGGTTTCTGCCCGCTGGTCTCCCATTAGCCACCATTGTGAGAACAGGATGCCTGTTTAGATGGGCCATTGGCCTGATCCAGTAAAGGTAAAGGTACCCCTGCCCGTACGGGCCAGTCGTGTCCGACTCTAGGGTTGTGCGCCCATTTCACTTAAGAGGCCGGGGGCCAGCGCTGTCCGGAGATACTTCCGGGTCACGTGGCCAGCGTGACAAAGCTGCTCCGGCGAACCGGCACCAGCGCAGCACACGGAAACACCGTTTACCTTCCCGCTATAAAGCGGTACCTATTTATCTACTTGCACTTAAGGGTGCTTTCGAACTGCTAGGTGGGCAGGGGCTGGGACCGAAAGACGGGAGCTCACCCCACCACGGGGATTCGAACCGCCAACCATACGATCGGCAAGTCCTAGGCACTGAGGTTTTACCCACAGCGCCACCCGCATCCCCCTGATCCAGTAGGCTCTCCTTATGACCATAGAGGCAGCCAAGAGTCTGCCTCGCATGGCAAGCTTTGGCTGCCATCCAGTGCAGCAAAGAGGGATAGAAAGAAAGATCTATAAATAAGCAGGCATAAGTCAGAAAGATCTATAAATGAGTCGGCATAAATCTGACTCATTGGACTTCATCCACTGGGAAGCTGCCCTGAAAACACCCCACCAAAGTGAACAGGGGCACAGCAAGTTTGCCCCATCCTCTTCTGAAACCCTAAAAATGTGGGACCAACTTTCCAGTCAAGGGCAGTAGATTATGAGCAGCTTCTGGGGTGCTGCAGGAGGGTAAGAAGCAAACAAGAACGATGTGCTGTATGTATGGTTACTACAGTGAGGCAGTTAGAGAAGAAAGTCGTAGCGTACATAATAAACAGGGTAGGAAGTTAAGGCATCCCGATAGTCAAGGGCATACGAAGCCTGGGTTCATGCCGCCAGTACCAATATTAGTTTGCTCCTTGAATGATACAGATCCACACACCACCCTTCCCTCACGTTAGCAATAATACTTACTCCTAAAATAAGATTACCAGATTTTTTTCAATGAATCCGGAGACACTTTTCAACTTCAGTCAAATTCAGTGGATTTTGTCAGGGGACTGATTTGTAAATCTGGGGACTGTCCCTAGGAAACGGGGATGTCTGGTAACCTTATCCTAAGATTACAAGTTACAGGGACATTTCCCCCAGATCTGGGCACTGCTATCTCTCATGCATGCCCAACAGGGGGAAGACATAGGCCTAGTCCACAACTCGGCTTCATTACCAAACTGGCTGGACTTAACTTGGCTCCACTGAAAACAGCATTACATCTGCGGGGAGGTGAAATGAAACCTGCTGTCGAAGAAGAAGAAGAAGAAGAAGAAGAAGAAGAAGAAGAAGAAGAAGAGGAGTTTGGATTTGATATCCTGCTTTATCACTACTCGAAGGAGTCTCAAAGCGGCTAACATTCTCCTTTCCCTTCCTCGCCAACAACAAACACTCTGCGAGGTGAGTGGGGCTGAGAGACTTCAAAGTAGTGTGACTAGCCCAAGGTCACCCAGCAGCTGCATGTGGAGGAGCGGAGACGCGAACCCGGTTCACCAGATTACGAGCCTACCTCTCCTAACCACTACACCACACTGGCTCTCTAGGAGGCACTAGGAGAGGTGTGGGGAACCTCCCTAAAGCTGTTGATAAACTACAACTCCCATCAACCATGCCTCTGTAGTTCAGCAACATCTGGAAGGCCAACTCTAACTTTTGACAGCTCCCATTCGCACGTGCAAGTTGCTGAGGGGGTGAACGCAAAGTGTGTGAAGCCACCAAAAGGGGATTCTAGCTCATTTAAAAGATCTAATGTGTGTCCCTCCCCGCCCCCCGCAATCTTTCAAGATAAGGGCAGGAAAATAGGCGGGGAGGTTGTTAGGACAGACAGAGATATCTGAAGAAGTGTGCATGCACGAAAGTTTATACCAAGAACAAACTTAGTTGGTCGCTAGGTGCTACTGGACAATTATATATACCTACCTGAATCTAGACACACACACACACACACACACACACACACACACACACAGTGTCCTCCCAGCTCTGACAACTCCAGATGGATTTCAAATGCGGAAGTGTGCAAGAAGAGGATCGTCTTTCTCTCACCAAGAGGCGGTTTTCCCTTTCGTCCAATCATCTGACAGCTAAGAGCCACATGGAATGCCGGAACATTCTGAGAAGCCTTCCAATTATGAGGCCACGTGCTCCAAGCATGCCACAAATGCCATGTCTGCCACAGCCGGCCTGTCGTCATCCAAACACTGAATCAGCACCGTCTCTCCCCGGGTGACAGACAGACATCTTTCTCTGCCCTCCCCCTGTTCACTTAACGCCACAGAGTCCAATATCCCTGGGTTCACAGCTTGTTTTTTTAAACTCAAGGCTTAAACGTTAGCTTCTTAGAAACAAGAAATAATATCCCATTAAAACACCAAAGAAAACCTGGAGGAGATCCTACAGAGACCTTACTTACCTCAAGTAAACTTGGTTATCTTATGCCAGCTTCCTTGTTCTACAGGGGCAGATAGCTCCGTTTCCATCTGGGAGGGGTAGAAGCAGCGGAGAGATCCAGTTATCATAAAGACAGTAGATTGCAAAGGAGAAGCTTTTGAGCTGTTTACTGTTGGGATAGCAAACTGATTCACATGGGTGTTTTTTTTATACACAGGATTGCTTCTGGTAGTTGATCCTGGAGAGAACCAACCACAGTAATAACCATAAAAACGAGACCTTGCAAAGGCCTACAGTGGGAATGGAGAGTTATTTCGGTCCAATTCCATTGTGAACCACCACTGCATTCCAGGTGGAAAAGTGGGTGGAGCAATGGATGTCTTTTGACCATACGCTACAATTCAACAACACAAAACTCTCATGTACACACACTTGCAGCGGAGTTGGTAAGGAGTGTGCCTTAGGGAAAGGGGTGTAAATGTGAAGAGGCGTCTGATAAGAGATGCCTAAACTCCCTATGCCTGACCTGGTGCACCACTGCAAATTAACCTCCAGCTTTGCCAATCTAAACACATTTCTCTCTACACAGGTCCCCAGGAGCAGAATTAATCTGACTAGTGATGGAGGTAGAACCAAGCAGCTGAAATACGTTGTATTTAATAATTAATAATAATAATGGGGTGGGAGAGGAACAGCCATTATGGTTTCTTTGATACAACCTGAAATCTGTTCTTTTGGCTATTCTTAACTTAATTGATTAGTTACTTGCTACAAAGGAATCTCTAAGCAACTTGGAAAATTTTAAGCATAGCATAAACATCAGAAAGTGAACAATATAGTGCAGCAGAAGCCATACAATAGCAACCCATAGAACAGACCCAGTAAACCGGTGGCAAACACCTATCATCACCAACAAATTCATTAGCACCTAACAGAGGCTCATCTCATCAAATCTGCACAGTTCCTCCTGCACTTCACCTTAGGACTTAACAGACTCTGGGCTTCCAATTAGCATCCATCCTGAAAGAAACATCTAGAAAATTTGCTCACTGCTTTGTGACATTTTAGCTGATCCTTCCTTTTTTTAGGTCTAACGTGGTAGTCAGCAAGTATAATACCTGATTATAGCTTCTGATTTAATTTTCCTACTAATGGACCAACGAAACTGCCTACAATTTTTGTGTGATGTCAGGATTGTCACAGGAGAAGCTACACGGTTGACCCAGACCTGGAAAGAGTAAGTGAAAGATGGCAGGAGCAAGGGATCCATGGCATCCTTCTTCTGGATTTATTTACTTCCTTCATCCTTTGCCAACCTGGTGCTCTCTGACTGTTTTGGACTACAACTCCCATCAGCACTGGCTGGGGCTGATGGGAGTTGTAGTCCAAAACAGCAGGATTGCACGAGGTTGACAGAGACTGAAGGGAATATACTTACGATATTTAAATCAGCTTCTCAGTAACTCTGTTATTTAGTCACTCAACAAACGTAAACATGTTTTAAAACACAAGCCATAAAACAGCAATAACACTCCATATAAAAATGTATCAGCATAGAGGGACCTGAAACTAGTTCACGGCACAAGTACAAATATACAAGTGGTGGCTACAAAAAAATTAAAGATTCTTTTAAGGCCACAAATTTAAAAGGTGTCAGGAGAGCCTCTCTGGGCCTCACTCCCTACTTCCTCAGCGAAGCTCTGAGTTTTCGCTTCCAGCTCCCTCACTGTGTAACCACTAGCCTGTGCTACCCAGACATCCAGACGTTATTTGTTACTACATTTCAAGCCTGCATTTCCTCCAATCAGTTCAAGGAACCAAACATGCTTCTCCCCCTCCCCATTTTATCCTCACAACAACCTTCTGAGGTGGGTCAGGCTGACAGACTGCAGCTGGCCCAAGGTCACCCTAGTGAGTTTCACAGCTGAGTGGGGACTTGAACCCTGGTCTCCCAGGCCCTAACCTAGTCCAACACTCTAACCATTACACCACACTGACGCATTAGTTCTCCCTGCTCTGACCACTAGATACACCTTCATGAGCTACCACAAAAAAAATGACTTCTGTGCCCATTTAGCGCAGGCCATGCCAGTATGATTTATTGCTCTTGAGAAATATGCCAGGAAAAATGCAGACATGAAATGGAGACAAACGGTTGTGGAGTTGCACTTCCATCAAACTGGGGTGGGGTGATGAATAATATTTAATACAGTACATAAAATCAAGCAGGAAAACAAGGTTGGAAGGTGGGCAGGGGAGAAGGCAACCTTGCTGAACAGCCCTGCCCCAACCTAGGCTGATCTCTCAGATTCCCTCAACCTGGATCTGAGCCTTCAAGTGAGTGGGGGGGGGGGCGGGCTCCTCTATACAAACAAACTCCCTGCACATAGAAAGCTAGCATGACAGGGTTGCAGCCTCCTCTTCTGCCTGATACCCTTTAATGCTCAGGGAATGTTTATTTGCAGGGAAAACAACAGAAAGGCGGGGGGTGGGGTGGGGTAACCAAGGACCACATGCAGCCTGCGGTGGAAATACCGCAGAGGGGAGGTCTTGTGGCATCCACTTTTTCCAAGGCCACAGGTTCAAATCCCCAGCATCTCCAGCCAAGAGCTGGGGGCAGCTCCCCTGTTTGAAAACCGCTGGCAGACAGTGCAGGCAGCGTTGAGCCAGGTGGATAAAGGGCTGTTTTTGCTGGTGGCAAAGAGGAAGGGAAAGGGGCTGGCAGAAAGAGAGAGAGAAGGCTGCATAAGCCGGCTTGGAAGCAGCGGCCCAAGGAATTGGGCCACAAGATGCCAGGACTCCTGGGTTCTCTGGGGCTTCAAACAAGAGGGGTCGGGAGCCCCGGGACACCTGGGTTCCATTTCTAGCTCCGGGAAGCCGGGCGAGGAGGCCTTGCGGGCTCCAGGAAGCATAAGCCTGGACTCATTCCCGGGGGAGGGGAGGAAGGAGCACGGGGAGGGGGGTCGTCTCCGGAACACAAGCACCCACCTCTTGCTCAAGCAGCTCGGGGTCCTTTTCCATATGGCGCTCCCCGGATCCCACGGGCGATGCAACGCCACAAAGAAGAAGAAGAAGAAAAAGACGAGGAGGAGCAAAAGGAGGAGGAGGAGGAGGAGAAGAAGCAGCCGCTGCCCTCTTTTAATCCGGGCCAAGTGTACACGCGCACAGCAGCCAGGCTGGCCCCGCCCCCCGGCTCCGACCTCATTTCACCCCAAGCAGCTGAAAGCTGCAAGGGCGGGGGAGGAAGCGGAGCAGCGCCGCGCAAACAAGAGAGATGCCAGAGATCTTGCAGGTTCCAGAACGCGCAGACAACTTCAAGAACGCCCCGAGATCGCGACGTGCGGATCTCACCACGCGCTGCACTCATGCACGCATGCATGCACACCGCGATGTCTGTCTACAAACTGGGTAGCCAATCAACAGAGATTTTCCTCGGAAAAGAAAGCGGGGGCGGGGGGGGGAGCGCGCGCGCGCGCGTTATAAAAGAAGCTGCCTCCCTCTCGACGTTTCACTTTCAATTAACTTGTCATCGTGAGCTGTCCAAATAGAAGGAACAACTCCATGGCCGCTAGCGCTCCCTGGAACATAGGAGAGCTGGACACCAGGTTTCCCCCAAACCTGTTTTCAAGTGTTCAGGCAATATGCAATACTGTATCCTAATATTCAGATTTATTATTCGTCTACGAACAAGAACTCCAGGAAGGCAACTATCTCTACCCAGTAAGAGACTTAAAGAGACTTTTCTGGAAGCATTATATTGACAACTAAAGCTGTCGTTAATTGTCACTAAATGCTTGATACTGAAGTCACAGTGTGGGGGCACTGCGGCTGCTAGCTCTGAATTACTGGTTCAAATCTCAGTTTAAACAAGAGGCCAAAGCCAGCCCATCTCAGTCTATCCCAGAATAATTCTAGCCTACTTCACATAGGGCACCTTCGGCTGAGTAGCTATCCCTGATTTTCAAAATCTGCTTCTGGCCACCTAGCTATACCAGCCAGTTATTTAAAAGAAAAGGTTAACAGGCTACTCTTTACTAACAGATTAAGGTGAGCTATTTACACGCTGGTCATTATTTAACTAGTGATTACTTTCACTTACGCAGAATGTTTTAAAACCTATCTGTCTTTCATCTTCGCAGCTCTATTATTCTAACTGCCGTAAACTGAGACCAAGATATACTATCTCTCCAAGACTCAGCAGGGGAGGGGGGATTCGGCCCCAGATCCCTTAGACCTTTCTGGAAAACTAAGGCATCTATCAGTGGCTTTCAAAGCTTCTGTTTCCTGGGGACTTATTTCCACTTGTCTGTCAAAGAACTTCTGTGTGTCTGCTAGAGGACTTCTGTGTACTGTGGAGGATTCCAGAGGTGACAACATTCTGAAACACAAACGCCAGGCCTGTTAGGCCTCATTGCTGTCCCTCAGGAGTTGAGAGCATGCCCAGAATTGTCATGTGGCTGCACATTTTAGGCCGGCTGTCCTAGGCAAAGTGTCTTTCAGGGAAATCCATGTGTCTTTACCAACCGTCTCTTTTTAAAAAATAAATAAATTATAATTTTCATTTATATACATTACAATTATTTAAGCAAGTTTTAACATTTTCAGTTTTGACTCCCTTCCCCCTTTTTCTGCGGTTCCTTACATTTAGTTTCATTCTTTCCTGCATACTCCAAATTGCCTTAAGTTATTCTTTTAATTGTCTATTCTCATATATATCTCATACTGTATATATATTTAAAACTGCAGGTTTTTACAATAATCCTGCCAGTGTCTTGATATGTTTACAGTTTGTTTGTAAATACTCAATAAGCCACTTCCATTCCTTTCTAAAAAGTTTGTTGTCTTGATTTCTTATTCTTCCAGTAAGTTATGCCATTTCTGCATACTCCATTAGTTTCTGTATCCAGTCTTTATTTTGTCAGGACCTCTTCATCCTTCCACTTTTGGCAAATAATATTCTTGCAACTGTAGTTGCATGCATAAATAAGTTTCTACATTATTTGGGTAGTTCTAATCCTTTTTGTATTACTCTATCTTTGACTCTTTTCGAATTTCAAGACCATACAGTCACCCAGCAGTTTTTTTGCTTTTGCATACTGTACTTTGATTTTACTTGAAAAAAATTATCCACTGCCACACTGACCTCATCTTCTTTTTACCGACTGTCTCACTGAGGAATCCCAGATAAGTAAACCCCAGGGTTCTCCAAGACACAGGCTGAAAACTCACTGAATTAATTCAGTGGCTCTTCAACTACTTTGACTGCCAATCCCAACAACTTTAAAGCAATGCACCAGACTCCTTCCTTGTTCATTCAAAATATTTATCTCCCGCCTTTCTGTCAGAAAAAGGAGGTATTTGAGGCATCTAACAAAATGTCTTTGTTTTAGAAACATACTCTCTCAAATTACCAGACTCTCCAAATGGATCTGAAGTACTTAGGTGCTCTAAGCTCTTTATATATTATCTAGATTTATCTCTCACCTCTCAGCATAACATTTTATACCATGGGAACATGGAACGTTATAGAACATAAGCTAAAGAGAGAGAGAAGTTCTCTGCCTTTGGGAAGAAAAGTGACGCAGGGGGTAGATCCTTCCTGAATATTGACTTTCCACCGCACCTCATTTTTATGCCTTTTTTGAGCATTCATTTGTAGGAACTGCTGCCTCGTGCCAAGAGTTTTAGAACAATTATCCCTCCCTTGCCAAGTCCAGTGTTTACATTCCCAGGTCGCAGCAGGCTAAGGGGAAAGGAGCAACACAGAACGTCTTGGACGCCAGCCTCAGCCTATCGCAATGCCCTAGGTCTTGGTTTCAACTTGGATGCCAGCCTCAGCCTATCGCAATGCCCTAGGTCTTGGTTTCAACGGCAAAGAACGAAGGAACAGAGCCAGCCCATGCCAGCAGCTGCAGACTTTTCTCCCTGGAGTCCCCTTGCTTTAACCTACTGGACTCAGGGCTGGGAGTCATTGACTTCAATTCTCTAGGCTCCAATCCAACGCAGATCCTAGATCCCTGTCATTAGGGGAACTGTTTATAGCACCACCACTGAGCATGGTGCTTTATGGAGCAAGCCAATCAGCAGCAGCAACAAAGTGCCCCAATGAGCTTACAATCTGAATGCTCGCAGTAACAGTGGTGGTTGCTGCAGCATGGGGTTTGGGATAAGAAAACCAGGGAATGGGAGAAACAGGGGTGTAAAAAAATAAATACGGTAACAGAGGGCACCGGAGGTGAATGGATCACAGGAAAATAATCCTGGCACTTTGGCCCCATAAATTTCCCACCCACTCCAGGGGATCAGACACACTGGGGGACCAGGAGTCGTTAACCCAAAGATCTACCCAAGAGCCCTCCCCCACAGATTATAGGAGTTTAAACGCTCATCATCCCCTGCGCTAATCTGGCCCGCTCAAAACTCAAAGAAGCACGCGCTACCCTCCTGACTGAAGAGGACCCGGGATCCCCAACCCCACCTGTCTCCTCTAAAACCTCCTACTGTCTTCCCTTCCGGAGATTCAAGGAATCCTGGCTCCCCAACGCCACCTCCATTTACCAGCCCACGAGGCTCCTCCCTATGCTGAGAAGGGAACCCAATGACAATCGCGGCTCCCTCCCAGTCGTCTCCCTCCTAACCCGCTGCTTCCTTGCTAGAAACCCAGCAGTTTTGCATCCTGTTCTCCACTCTCGGGGTAGAGACTGTAACGCACGAGCCTCCGCCCCGCCTCGTCCCCCCGGCAGCGTTCACAATGGCACTTTCCACAGAGGATCCCTTACCGCCAATTCCAAACACCGCAGCAGCTCCCGCACTTGGGGACCGGACTGAACCAGCTGTCTCTTTCTCGTTAGGGGTGGGTGGCTGGGTGCGGGGAAGGGGACTGACGACAAGGCAGTCTCTGACGGAGGAAGGGAGCAGTGCAGCATGGGAAATGTAGTCTCATCAACGCGCCCTCTGGATGCCTGCAGTGCGCAGACGAAACTACGATACCCAGAAACCCCTGCGCGATAAAGCGGAATTATGGTGGGGAAATTTTTTTGCTTAAGTTAGCGCCTCATGGGAAATGCAGTCCGTCAATGAGGCAAAACAGGGAACAAGGCAAGCTGAAAACAATTCCTGCTAAAAGGCGGGAGGGCATAAGGCGGACGTTTTCAGCACATTTTTGGGACACGGGTTAACTGCTGCGTTTAAAGAGGAGCACCCTTCAAACCAACCAATGTTATTATGGTGTAAGCTTTATAATGCAGTCATGGCAGCATGGTGTAGTGGTTAGAAACGTTGCACGAGGGCCTGGGAGACCAGGGTTTAAATCCTCATTCAGTCATGATGCTCAATGGGTTACCTTGGGCTCATCTGTCTCTCAGCCTAACCTGCCTCACAGGGTTGTTGTGGGGATAAAATGGGTCTGGAGGGAGCCATGTATATGCCAGCTTCTTGGAGGAAAGGTGGAATATCAGTAATAAATAATAGTGCAAGGGTTTGAGTGTGCTTATGTATCAGATGTGTGCATCGGAAAACTGGTCCCCCACTACGAAGTGCACATCTGAAGCCTCTGACAAGAATCAAATTCAAACCAGAGTATGTGTACAAGAGAAGACGTGTCAAATAATTTAAATTTTGGCGCAGTATTTTGGCTGACATGCATCGTGCCACAACAAGGAACTTATTTCACAAATGAGATACCACAACAACACACAATTAAGCCTGACCTATGCAGAATTCCTATGCCAATTGCCACTGGAGTTTGGGGTATAAATGTTAGAAATAAATAAATGGGTTTTGGCTTGCCTGTCTCTGCGAAGGATGGCCAGGTTGCCATGACACGGAGGTGGAAACTAATTTCCACATGTATATAGGATCGAGCTCTTAACTGTAGCATAAACATTTCATGAGCAGTGAGCAGTGAAGTGAGAGAAGGCTGCATGGCAGGAATGGGGATGCTGATTGAAGGAATACTTATAGTTCTTTTCATGTTTGGGAGACAAATGCAACCCTAAGCACTTAGGAGTCCCACTGGAACATAGGAAGCTGCCTTATACTGGATAGTCAGCCCTTTGGTCCATCTAGCTTAGTACTGCTTACACAGGCTGGCAGTGGCTCCCCAAGGTTTCAGGCAAGGAATCTTTCAAAGCCCTACCTGGAGATTCCAGGGATTAAAGTTACGACCTTCAGCATGCAAAACTGATGTTCTCCCACTGAGCTACATCCCTTTCCCATTGAGTTCAATGGAACATACTCACAAGTGTGCCTAGAATTTTAGACAGAATAAGGCTAAAGTGAGGCACACCCTGAATTGTTGGTAATATTTGAAACACTGTTGACTCTGACCTTGTATTACATTACTGTATCTTCAGTGACAAAGCGGGAGAATCAGAGAAAGCACTGGAATTACTCCATAAGCTAGCTCAGGTGTTGACTATGAACAAGTTACACTGACAGAATGGGGCTGAAATAATGTCGACATTGTGAAAGTCCCATCAGAGGAATGGTAGGCACAGCTGTGAAGTCACAATCCTTTGGGATGCAAGCATATGAGGATCATAGAATTATAGGGTTGGAAGGGACCCTGAGAGTCATCCAGTCCAACCCCCTGTGATGCAGGAATCTCAACACACAGCCTCCCAATTTGAAACCATAACTGGATGTTACGATGGGAGCAGACTCGACATGGCAATCGCTACAAAAGTCCAATAGGTTGCAAGACAAGATTTCTAAAATGCCAGAAGCGCCCCTGGAAGAACATTGGGAAGATCAAGAAGGGACTGTTAAAAATGAAGGACTTTAAAGAGATGCTTCTGAAGACTATGCGTCTCTGCTGAGAAACAAACTTCTGCATCTAGAACAGGAGCAGCATAAGCACACTCTTGTCAGAGGTGGTTAAATTCAGTGGCACAACAGGATGTTTGCTTCTAGCTGGAAAGTGTTGCTTCTGCTGTGGCTGAAATATTGTTTTGATTGTGTGGGGAGGGGAAACCTTTCTAAACCACAGGCTGCATATAAGGTAGAATGTCCTGTTATTGGCGAAGCCATGCATAGGCTGAGAGTCCAGTGAGCCGATCCCAGACCGTTCCTTAGGGGCTGAACACTTTGTGGAAGAGACGAGCCAGTTCTACAAGAAAGCAGCAATTTGCTCATCTTCTGGTTTTTTTTTATAAGATATTTATTAAGATTTTCAAAATATTACAAAATAAAAATAAAAAAATAAAAATAATTAAAAACAACACAATCTTTCCATTACTTATTTTTCATTAGCTTATTTCCCGGACCTCCTCACGCCTCCCTTTTTTGTATTCCAGTTCAGTTTGTTGGTTCAGCAAATCCTTCCCCTCTTTGTTTATCCTAATCTTTGATCTTAAAATATTGGAACATTAAATTTTTACCTATTAATAATCCATTTTTCATATTCCCTTATAGTATTGCAGCTAAAAACCACTTAATTTCTATCCAACATCATTCTAACATTCATTGCTCATCTTCTGATTTGATGCTGGAAGAGTTTCCATTGGATTAGGCTGGGAGAGATGTGTGCAGGGCCCAATGACAGTGGGTTCCCAATGCGCTGTTCAAGCTCCATGCCAAGCTAGGGGGCAAATCTAGGCTGCCCTGTTCACAGTGCACACTGTACATACATGAAGTGAATTCAGGACATGCCTAAGAGTTGCAAAAAAACACTCAAGAAGAATTTAGTTGAAATGTCATCCTGGTGATAGACAAGGACAAAGAGGGCAATATCTGCAGTGACAGAACCTTCATTGTGGTCACAGCAGCTTTGTGGGATTATGTTCTACTGACAATCAGGCACCTTTCATTTTCTCTTTCAGAAGCCTACCAAATACTTTTCTACTTAATGCTTCTGTCAACTAAACTGTTATCAGTTATGCCTGTGGATGACATAATGAAGGAATCTTGTATGTTGCATGATATTGTTTTACTGAGGGTTGTTATACATCTGTGCATTTTGTTCGCCACTTGGATATTTTTAATGAGCAAGCGGTCTATAACTTCTCATAAAAAACTAATATGGAAAGGCAGGGTATCAGTCATATTAAAAATGTAATAATCTAATGGGTGAATTTGCGTGACCCTGTCTATCCCTGCAAACACACTATTAAAGTCTTTATGAACTTTTTCTGAAGAGCCTGAAATTAAAAATGAGGTACCACCACTCTTGCCCCGCCCCACAAAAAATAATAATAATGAAAGCTAGGAATTCAAGAGGCTGCTTTCTCCAGAGATTTTTTTTTTATTGTTACAGAGGTTTTTCTTTCTGCCAGGATTGCTATTTTAAATTGATCAGTCAGTTTAATCAAATAGCCTTGGACTTATGGTTGTTTTTACAGTGCTCTTGATTATCTGGGAAACAAAGCAGTGTGGTGGACCCTATTAATACAAGCACTTATTTAAAAAGTTAAGGCTGCACCTTAGAAAAAAAAATAATTCCCTTTTCTGTTTTGCACAGGACTCACTACCTCTTGTAAGATGCTACCTGACGCAACAACACTCAAAAGCAAAGTACATTCAGAAGAAAAAGTCGTGTTTGTTTTTGTTCATATGTAACTTTATGCGGATTGAATCAATCAAGACTCTCATTATCGACCATGATTTCTTGCATTAGGTGGCAAGCTGTTTTCTTTCTTGGATGGCTCTGTTGTGCTTCGTATAAAAAAACTATTTCTTGCTTACTTTCAGGCTGTTAACCGTGGCTACACAGTGACCCCTGCAGTTGGCTGGGAGTACATACAGAGAAACATAACCACCATTTCAAATTGGGGAAAAATTCCGGTAAGTCGTTCACTTTCGACTTTATAATCTATGCCAGCCATCGCCAACCTGGTGTTTGCCAGATGTTCTGGACCACAACTTCCATCAGCCCCGACCAGCTGCTGGCTGAGACTGAAAAGGGTTGCAGTCTCAGGCTTCTGGGGGGGGGGGCGGCAGGGTGCTTAAGTCAGCTGCATGGTTCCCCCCCCCCACACACAGATAATTCTAATGGACAAAGATGTTTTAAGGTCTACTCTGCCTCACTTTCTCTGAAAATGGGTATTGACAGCTGTGCCGGAAGCCTGTAGAAAACATACTGAAAAGTGGCTGCTCACCCATATTTTGCCAGACCCAGTTTTTTTGGTACCTAAGGCTGCAAACCCAAATTTCCCATCCCACTGTAGTGGTACAAATATAATGGTAAACATGTAGTGGTGCTCATCAGATGTTGCTGGGCTCAGTCAGCCCCAGCCAGCATGACTGGGTGGGGTGGGAACTAGAGTCCAAAAACAACTTGAGGGGCCATCCTTGGCCTTGCGGTTTCAATCCTAATGAAAATAATTTACAGTTTGATACCTTTTTAATGGTACCTCACAATCTGTGGCTTGCCTCAGCCTTCGTAACAGAAGGGCCCTCCTGTTATGTAAAAGGTAGCTGTTATTAATGATGGTGAGAAAGGATGAGCTTTCGTTTGTGCTTCAGGAACTAAGCCAAGCCCAGTCACAAGCTGGTTTTGCTCAATTTTGTATCTATTCAGTGCTCTTTTTCAAAAAGGAAAAATGGTGCTGGTACTCACCATGAAGTTGTTTTGAAACATAGGGGGAGAGAAGTGCCCGTACTGCACTCTACTTGAGTATCCCCAGAAAAAAAAGCACTCTATTACAACTGAGAAGAGACATAACAGCTCTCAACTCAATGCTTTTTAAAGTCATCACGAATAGCTGTATTTTACAAATTGCTCTGTATACAATTTTTTTCTAAAAAGAGCTATAAAAATAAGTTTTGTATTAAAAAGAAATAAGGAAAGGAACAAAGGGCTTGATTTACGTATCTGTAGGTCACCCCAACCCAAAACTGCATCCATTTAAGTTCCAAAATGGAGGTTCATAAGCTAATCTGAATGGAGTCCGAAGGGTCAGACAAGTGGAATGCTGATCTCATCGATTTCTGGGAAGACGTTTTCCAAGCTGGAAGAGCATTCAGGTGATATAGAAACAGATTAATGGGTTGGATCCTGACCAAGCTACTTGCATTTAGTTCCCACTGGAATGACAAACTTTTCACCTTGGATTTCAATGGGACCTAAGCGCAATGAATTCGGTCCAGATCCAACCCAGCGCTTAAGGAAACACCAGAGGTAGGCGAGACCCCTGGGAAACCTCCACCCTCTCAGGACTTCCAACCTGAGGTGCCGCCTTCATTCACTGCCTCTTGGCTTTGGCCACGGGGCGCTTCCAGGCCTGGTTGAGGTAGCCGAGGCGCTTGTAGTTGAGCAAGAGGAGGGCAAAGTTGAGGAGGTAGGTGCTGATGCAGACCACGCAGAAGTCGTGGAGCACAAAGAACAGGATGTAGGCCAGGTACAGCGAGCCAACTATGGAGACGACCGAAGAGCCCAGCAGAGCAATGGCCGCCAGACCGCTGTTGGAGAAGCCTGTGTGGATGAAGGGGTCTGGGTTACTTTTGTGTTCAGCTGCAGAAGGGGAAATCATGCTGGCAAGATGGGACTGAAAGCTAAAACCGGCCTCCAACCTTTCAGCTGACCACCCCAACTTTGGATTTCCAGTCCCCACCTGTGAATCATCTGAAGGAAACAAAGGTTTTTGACCACACACATGAGAATGTCAACAAAATGTTGCAGTATATCCTCCCTCCTAATGTTCTTGTTCGGGGTTCTGGTTAGCTCCTCCCACTGAGCAGGGCATTCCATTTTCACCACCCATCCCATTCAGTGTCTGTCCACCCCCCCTGCAACTCTTTAGCTGCCCCTCTACATTCTGTAGCTACTCAGTATGCTTGGTCCTCTCTGTTTGGGGCTGCTCCTAGAGTTTGCGTTCTTTAGATTATAATATATTTTTTTTGTACACTTGCAAACCCCCACAGTTCCCCTCTATACATTCCTCTCATTTCTCAGTGGCCCTGTTTTGGCACCACTTCTTTGAGCACTCTTCATTTTAATCCAGCATCCTGTTCTCTCACTGGCCAGCCGTGGAAGACCACAAGCAGAACTTGATTGCGACAGCACTTTCCCTGATTCCCTTGACCTTGCATCCAGAGGTAGTACACTGGAGATAGTTCATAGCAGGAGTGTGCAACAGCTCTGGTCTACCCTGAATTACGAAATGTTGCTAATACCTGATGTAGTCGTCAGGGGAGGACAACACACCTGGTAACATACAGAGTTGAAAATATGGGCAGCTAGATTCTCCTCTGCCCAGTGTTTGGATTGGATGCTGTTAGCGACACCCGCATCCATGTGTGGACACCTGTGTTCTCTTTGACGCATCCATCTGCATGTGTCACTCACCCAGAAGGATTTGCAGGGTGTAGAAAGCGATCCCAAAGACGCTATTAGGCTGGTTGAACACGCTACGAGGTCCCAGAAACGTGGCCACCAGGCCAAAACCACGACCCCACCTGTAATGGGAGGAGATGGTGCAGAATGTTAGCAATAAACAGTAATTATGATACTTAAGTCTTTATAGAACACTGTGGATTGTCTAAGATCATGCAATGACAGTGTCTGGTTGGCTGCCTAAGGCAAACTGGGCCAATATAAAGACGCATCTTACCAATGTCAGATCTTTTATAGACCACAAGAGGCCCATTCTGCGTCACCTCCAGCATACATAAGGGACACGTCATCCCCCTCATTCACATTCTCCAGCCAAATAATAAAGGGTCAGTTACCCTGGGGACGTCCTTCCTGGCTGTTTACAGAAGGTTAGGCGAGCATACCGGTGACTTCTGCTAACAATTTCCCCCCTCCTCTCCTGCCACCCGTTAAGACACCCCTTTCTCAATTGTGCTGCAAGCAGGAAAGGATTCAGAAGATCGATTGGAGCTTTTCAGCGGAACTGAGGAAACTCCAGGACAAATAATACTTTCCCAAAAGAAGTGGAATTTAACCCAACACGGGCAGGGATAGTCCACACCTTGAACTCCACTGGGTGGTAGGGAGAGATTTCAACCCTTTGCATTTCGTCCCGAGTAAGCATGCCAATTGCACAGGGTCAGGCTGCAATCCCACGCACGCTTACTCGGAAGTAAATCCCAGCGGGACCTCTTTTTGGAAACAAGCACGCGTGGGATCCGACGCGTGTGCGTGTGGCGGATGCCACCGGGGTGCAAATCGCAGGAGATCATCCCACAAGATCTGGGGCTCCTGGCGCTGGAGCATTCATTCACCTGGAAGTGAAGACGCGGGAGCAGCTGACGGCTGCGCTGATGTCGCACATGGCCCGGTAGGCGGCGTCCCGCTCCTTCGAGGTCTCCACGTGGAAAGCGTAAGCAGACAGCGCCAGCCCCGCCGCGCAGAGCAGGAGCCGGGCCGCGCGCTCCCAGCCGGGCACCGCCATCCTGCCGCGAGCGAAAGGCGCAATGGGCCGCTTCCCTCTTGCTGGACGGCGCGCCCCTTCCAGCCTGGCGCTGGAGACTTGAGCCGTCCTTCATTGCGCACCGATCCTGCCAATCAGGCACAGCCCCCATTCAGCGAGCAGCGGGCGGTACGAGAGGCAGCAAGGCGTGCCGGGAGTTGTAGTCAGTGGGGGGGGGTAGGGCGCGCGGCGACGTGGTCGTGGTGTTTACGTGTCCAACGCCCTCCAGCCGCCTGCAATCCTGGAAAGTTTATGCCCCGATCCAACTGCTGTTGCGCAATGGCACTGCATATTTGCTGTAAACCTATTAAGTAGGGTTAGGACAGCAGGGACAGGGAAATGTGGTACAGGATTGTATGCTTAATCGTTAAATATATATATAAAAGCAGCATTAAAACTATATAGCCCATCAATCATCATAATTTATTTTCTCCTTTTCGAAGTATCTGATTCATTTGTAAATGAAAAGCAATAAAATACAAACTATAACCATAGCCCAGATTAAAATTAATCTGGAGCCAAGGCATTAAAAGGTTTAGGAAGATAAGGCTAGTAAGGCTCTCAGTTAGTCTAAGTTGCCTTTTCTCCATGCCCCTTCCTGCCTGGACTTCTGCAACACATTTATTGCACACACATTGCCTAAAAGACGCTTCAAAAATTTCCTTTTAATTCAGAGCACAGCTGCAAGATTTGTAATCAGGTAGAATGAGTATACTGTATCACTTTGAATGGGGCCATGGGCGTAGCCAGGATTTTGTTGCGGGGCCCCCAGAATCTCAGCTATGTATTTTTATTGATTTTTATAGATGGGGGTGGGGACAGCTGCCTCTCCCCACCCCGCCCCTTGCCTTTGCCCATGAATGGGGCCCAGAAACAGTCTGGTTGCAAACTTTACTGGCTCCCAGTCTGCTTGGGGCTCCAATTCACAGGTTGGATTTTGGCCTTCAAGGTTCAGGAGCAGGGAGCCATGAGGATTGTTTGCACCAAATCATCTGGCCAGCCAGCTCCCCAAAAAGTTTTAGAACTAAGGTGAAAACAGCCCCAGAAATAGCTCAGTGAGAGCTGAGCATGTTCCATGGACAGGGGATGCTGACTTTGGGGAGTGGGGGTTACAGAAAATAGGGGGACAGACGTACTGGAATGGAGTATCATAAAAGGGTGCATGGCAGTCCATAGTGTTCAGAAGCAATCCACATTGCAACTTTCTTCCAAGGTCTCTTGTGAAAGAAGTAAACCTGTTCCTACTTTCCAATGTTCTGACTACGGCAAAAACACTAGGAGAACAAACACCTGGTACTTATTTCTCAGTGATTTTTAAAGATTACATTGTATTTTATTAATATTTAACTTTAAACATATTAGTGGTTAGGTTCTGGCTGCTCTGTATTAATTCTACACATCCTCTCTCTCTGTCACACACACCTGTGTGCAACCTCAGGTCCTTTCACCACAAAATGTTTTGGCTACAGACCTGCTTTAATTTAACGCTGAACACCTATGAACATGCACAGAGTTCTTTCACCACTCCACAGCCACAGTCAGCTCTTCCCCATCAGTGACAGGAGCAAGGGCTGCCAGACATCTTCAGGCAGGCATTTGCTTTTTAAAATAACTTCTGTATTTGCTATTATTTCCACAGCTCTACATACTTAGAAGGTGAACTAGGTCCAAAATATATGTAGCAGAAAGTCTGATAAATTTGTGTGTGTGTGTGTGTTTAATACTTTATTATAAAATAGACTGTGCATATGGGAATGATTCTGTGATTGCCAGCAGCAGCAGCAGCCTCTTACTGCACAAGTTCAGAGAGCCTTTATCTTCTTTGGCAATCACTCGTAGCCGAGTAAGATTGTCTTCCATAAACATGGTTTTAACAATGAGTCCGTAAGTGACTGTGGAGGCCCATTCTGGACCCACACGTCCTTCCACAGTGGGGACATTCCCGGGCAGGAGTTGACCACAGTGTGGATTTGCCAAGCGTGCCTTCCTCTTAGCACGTTTCTCCCTTGCGTTCTGAGTTCAAGTGTCTTCAAAGCCCATGACACCTTTGGTAAAGGCTTGCAGGCAAGTGTTTCTCAGTTGTCGGAGTTTATATACATTTTTTTAGATTTGCCTTGAGACAGTCTTTAAACCTCTTTTGTTGACCACCAGCATTACGCTTTCCATTTTTAAGTTCGGAATAGAGTAGTTGCTTTGGAAGACAATCATCAGGCATCCGCACAACATGACCAGTCCAACGAAGTTGATGTTGAAGAATCATTGCTTCAACACTGGTGATCAGTGTGGTGTTGGACTAGGATTGTGAAGACTAACCTACCACAGAGATTTGTTGTGTGAATAAGGAGGAGAAACCCACATTTTCTGCCTTCAGCTTCTTAGACAAATGGTGAACAATTGCTTTAACATCGTTATAGTATCTTATTTTAAAAAGAAACCGGTTGCTCCCCCCACACCACTTAAGGTTGAAATGTCCACTGTGTCCGAACCACAGTGGCCTCATCCTTCAAGATTTGCCCGTTGGCCGGGACTCCACATTCCCTTAATTTGCCATCCTCCCAACAACCCTGTGACAAACTTATCATTACTTCCATTGCAGTCCAAAATTTTGCAAGCAGACGGATATGGACAGGTTAAGATAACCATTCTAGGTTTTCCTGTTCCAGAACTGCTTTCTTAACTTGCACAGACCAGTCTAAGGTAAACCTGCATCTGTAAAAGTTGCCACAAGACGCTGCTGTTTCTGCCGTGAGAAACAGCTACTCCTCTGACTGCATTTATAGGGATGCCATTCCATCTCTATGTCCACATTACTTAAGTGAACACGCAAAATGACCTCAGAGCTCTTTTGTTTTATGAATTGTGATGCCTGAGGTTGATGAGCTGGCAAAGTGCTTGCGTGGTCCGACTGCTCCTTCCAGCTCCACAGGTCACATAACAGAAGGGGCACTACTGCTTCCTTCCTTGTGATTCCCAGTAACTGGTACTCAGAGGCATCCCACCTCCCATGGTGGAGGTAAAACTTAAGCCACCATCACTGGAAGCCGTCTTATCCTCTGTGAATTTATCTAATATTTCAAAGCCAATAATAATAATAATTTTTATTTATACCCCACCCTCCCCAGCCAAGGCCGGGCTCAGAGCGGCTAAGCCAAGAGACCGATACTGATGAATTGGAAGAACAGAGATACGATTCCCCTTAATCAGTGGCTTGACAACATGACAACATTGGCGAGCTGCAAATTGTAGGCTAAGCTTTATAAATCAAGAAATAATGTATGAATACATAGAAATATGTATCTCAAAAAGAAGAAGCAAGGCAGACTCTGTGTTTTGTGAACCACTTCTGAACAGGGAGACATCCATTACATCCTGTCATACATTTTTCTATCTTGATTTTAAATGCACTTAAGGATGCATGTAGGATACAGATGCGAAGCAAATTGCTATATAGTGGTACCGAAGAACAACCACCAAGCTTTGCTGTTGCATCTGTAACAGCAGTAGAACTTGGGCCCGAGGAGCTTGCATGAAGAATTTTGCTGCACTCCATCCCCTCCAACGTTTCTCCCCTGAAAACAAACTACCAAAGGCGGGAGAGGTCATTAAAAAGCTGAAGGAAACCTGTTGTGAACTTTTAATGCAGCCGAGTGAGTATAACTCCCTAAAGGAAAAGAATGTGACTAGAGAGAAATCCTTGGGAGGAAAGAAAAATTGCTTACCTGATAAGGGCCGGGGGAGGCCTTGGAACCTCTCCCTTTTACCCAAAACTGACTTGCGGAGAGCCCTGCGACGGAGCTAATGATTCTAGTTTAGTTTAATTAAGTTTTTAACTCAAAGTTTTAAGGTACTGAGACCCTGAAAGAAGACATATATATATATATATATATATATATATATATATATCTTAAAATCCTTTTTAAGCATCTTGATTATTACCGGGGGAGCACCAGAGCCTCTGCGATAATCACTTTGCACCAATTGAAGAAGTAAACTCACCCCTGCTTCTCCACCACGCTGTCTTTCTTCTCTTTTACAATTACCTCTTATCTATTTATCTCAGTCAACGCATTGTAGCGTGTTTATTACAACAATAAAGAAATAATTTACAACTTTAAAGAAACAATGGTGACGACCAGGAGTGGCTGCAAAACCTCAGGCTTTTCTCTGAAAGCTGTAAGACCCACCTTTAAAAGAGCCACTCTAAAGAAAGCACAAACAAAAATCACTCGCTTCTACATGAACAGAGCAAAATGTGGAACAAATGAGGAAACGACTGAAATGAATGAGAACAAGAACAAGAAGGGAAATTCTACTCTCTCCTACCAATCTCTCTTACAGCTATAGTGAAGGACCGGTTATGCAAAGAAAGGAGTGTACTAAAAACAGTGATAAAAGCCTGAATATATTGGAAGCAACACAAAATATCCTCGATACAGCCGATGAAGCATCCCCGAAACTGAAAGCCAAATCCCAAGTTCCTCTCGAGCCATCGTTAGATCAAAAAATGGAGGAACTAATGTTAAAACAAATTTCGGAATTGGCCTCGGGAAATATTAAACCTTCGAAAGACTCTTATTCTCATTCCCACGAGACAAATGAAGAGGGTCTCTCAATCATCAAATGGCTAGTGCTCCTTACTGAGGACATTGAATCCATAAAGTCCTACTTGGACATTTGCACAAAAACTCTTACCATCATGGCTGACTCCTGTAAAACTCTCTGGAGAAAACCCGGAATGCCTGCAGAATTGGAAAGTAATCATGGCCTCGCCTCCACCCTTTGTAGGAGTGGCTCATCAAGGAAGGGTAAGAAAGCCTGCAGAGCTAATGCTTGCAAAAGGAGATTTATAGTTGTAAAAAATGTTAAAAAAGTAAAAACATAAAAAATCTTAAGACAGTGTATTATAAAAAATGGTTTTTAAAAGCTTTTAACTTACTCGAGAGCACAACAGCCTCTGGCACTAGAGGGAACCCGGTGAAGTCTTTAGCCAAGAAGTCAGTTAAACAGGATTTGCCCCCAAACGTCTGTGCTGATAAAGCTCCGGATTG